AAGCTCTCGTAGAAGCGCTTCAGCCACAGGGAGGCCTCGCCGTTCGGCACTCGCACCCCGCTGTAGCCCATCAGCTTCCCCGCGAAGCTCTCCGACTTCTCCACCGCGAAGCGGACCTCGAAACAAGACGAGGGAGCATAGGTGACCTTTTGGGAAAAATAGGTGGCCCAAGACCCGTCTAAACCAGTGGAACCCATCTATTCCTAACCAAACTAAGCTAAAAAGGACGCTATGCGAGCGAGCAAGCCACCGGCCAAAAAAAAAACACCGCGCCCACGCTTCGGATGAAACCCGACGAGGGGAACAACAAAATCCACAAGTGGACCATAGGCCCGATGGTGAGCCAAGCTCAAATGGCCACGAAAAAATAGGGAACCCTTTTGGGATGGACTCAAAGTTTAGGAAACTCCCAAGCGCTTCTTGAGATCGCGTGTGTATCTTTGTTCGCGTGTATAGAAATATATGCAATTGCAGGTATGTGTTTGCAGGGTCTCTGTCATGCTGATACAAAAAAAGCTCTGCTGAGACACACAGGCGACCCAACAGTTGGATCAACAATACATTTCCTTGGCAGGAACATTTCACACAAAGGCGACAGGATTACAGTTTTAACCGCGGGTACATCGGACAGGTCTTACAGCTGCACAAGACACCTACAGAACGGGCGTCTGGGATTTTCTACAAGCTTACAGGGCACATCACCAACCTGTACAAGAATTACAATTTGACCAAGGACTACATCATCCTTCAGCACATCATTATCCCTATCGAGAAGGTACTGAATACAAAGGATCCCCTCGACAGGATCCATGCAGGTTTATCGATGGCTTTGAACCATCATACATATCCTGCAGACCATCTCGGAGCCTTTGAAGACAATGGTCATCGAGCACGTTGTCCAACATGGAATACAGCTGATGGGAAACAGCACGGACCTGATACCCGGACAGATTGGGTACAGCGACCAACGCTTGCAGGAGATTGACAGCGCCATGATTTTGTCGCAACATCAAGGAGGCAAGCTGCTCAACAAAAAGAAGGGCATGGACGACAGCGCTTGAGTACATCAAGTACATTTTGCCACAATGGCACACCGCAACTCGTGGTACAATTGATCCGACAGCAAGGGACATCGATGTACAGTACATCTGCTTTCTGGCTATCAGTTTACATGCAGTGGTTTCTTAAATCATCCCGATCCACAAGGACATTTGTACATGTTTGTAAAGTGTGCTAACATAGCACAATTTGAGGAGGGGTGTTAAATACATAACAGTCTTGTACAGATCGCCTACATGTGACGACCGTTACATGTCGGTACAAGGCCTTGAGCCTAGCCCATGCCCGCAGTACAAAAGATTACAACCGTGCCGTGTCGTTCACATCACAGGTCCAACACTTCAGGTCAACAGGTTCTACATTCACAACACTGAGTTTAACAATATCATCACTCCCCAAGTTAACGTGTAAGACCTGCTCCCGATTTCTCCCTTTCTGACTTCCCCACCTTGATGCTCATCCACTCGTTGGTCTCTCCCACGACCTGGTTGCAGACCTTGTCCAGCACCGCCGGCACGCCGTTCACCTCGGGGAGGAAGCTGGCGATGCGGTTGTACGCGGAGCCCAGGTTGATGGATCGCCGGGCCAGGCGGTACAACTCCTGGCCCTGGCCCAGGAAGACGTTGAAGGTACCATCGTTGCCTGACGTTTGGAGAGCCAAACTGCAGTCTCTCAAACTTGGGGGCCTGCCTAAACTGGTTGGCTTCCCGTGGCTGCCCTTCAAATAACAGTGGCTGAGACTGATCTGGAGATGTGTCAACATGAGGGGGACCCCAAATAATGATAATGATCCTTTTGATTTCCCTGTAAACCAAGCTGAACAAGGAAATCCCTTTCAAAAGCACACAACCATCGGAGAGGAGCAAAGAACTTGTTGCTTTCAAATGCCAGCCTTTCCTTTGTTGTGTGGGTTTTGCTCGTATGTGGCAATCCAACACTTCGGCCGAAAGAGTCGAAGCAAGTTGCCACCGCCATCGTAGGAAAGCACCAAGGCAGATCTGTAGGGGGAGGTGTAGAATGCCATCAGGGCATGTACCTCGTGATGGTTCACCCCTCGCCAGCGCTTGATCTTGAACACTCGCTCGATGATCTGGGGAAGCATCGTAAACTGCAACGCCTCGCAGGGAAAATCATGTGTCGCTTGGCTGGTGAGAAAACCATCGCCCCTGGTGATTGCAACCAACTCATCTGTCCGTTTTTGTTTCTTTTTTTTTTCTCACCGACACAGGAAGAAGATTCTTAGAACAAGAGCCCTCGTGCCTCATACATGCCAAAGTTCACAATGATGCCATTTTCAAACTCCGACGGGCATGGGCCATCGTCACACTCACAGCCATCTCGGACCACCTCTGCTGCCTCCTGCCATTTGTGATGAAAGTAGTTTATTCGAGGGAAGAAGTATCTGCTTTCGAAGAGCCGCTCCAGCTCCAAAATGCATTGTATCCGGCTCCCCTTTGCCACTACTATGTGAGCATCATGGCCGGCATGGATCGCAATGGTGGCATGGTCGTCGCCCTGCAGCTCCTGTCAAGGTTTGGGCCCCTTGCGTCAGTCACCGTTACACTGAAAAGCAATCGAACCACCATGCCCATCCCCTTGTGAACGCATCCCCTGGGTCTAGTTGTCACAAACCAGCCGTTGCCCAACACTGCGCAAGAAAAGCTTGCTGTCCGCTGCACCTCCGGCCACACGAAGCCGTGCACGTTCGGTTTCTTTGGAAGTGCCCGGTTCGTTCTGAAGAATCTGCTGGCTCGGCTGGCTGACACCGAAAACTTTGTGCCGTTGGGGAACCTCAGCTGCCGAAAAATCGGCCCAAGCATGCCCACCAACCTTCCATCGATTCCGGTCCAGCCAACAAACTTGGCGGCAACTATTGTTTGTGAGAGCCTTGCAAAGACCGCTTGGCTTGGCATCTGGTACACCTATACACACTCGCAAACACACCAGACCCCCACTACCTCGTTGCCTGCAACACATCGGGCCCCTCCCTTCCATGCACTGGACTTCCAAAAGTGGCAGCTTCGTTGGAACCCACCAGTAAATCTCGACTGAACGAAGGGAAAATCCAGCTGCCCCGCAAAATCGAGAGTCCGGAACACATTGTCAGAACCATCTATTGTACTGGATCCATTAAAGTGACATCCTCAGCATTGCCCTCCACATTGTGGCTTAAGGGGAGACCACTCCAACAAAGAAAGTTTGAACACCCCTCAAACCCTTCATTTTAAGCGCAGTCTTGCGTGCTTGACGCCGTGTCTGGCAATTCAGAATCGTCGCGCGGCAGTTGCCAAAATGGGAAGATCACCTCAACTCTCGGATCCCAAACCTGCAGCGGCTTCGCTTTCTGCGGCTCGGAGGCCACTCGATATTGGGAGATTGCCGCCCAACCGGCAGACCCGGCTTGCAGGACGGGAAGACCGAGGGGTCACAGAGCTCATCTCCGCCCGTCTCCTTAGGCAGCGAAATGCGCTCCAGAACACGCCCACCCAACAACCCCTCCCTGATGCGAGAAAGCAACTTCTTGCCAATCCAAAGGCGGTGTGGGTTCATCACAAATTCGCCAAGCTAGCGAAGTGCCCTCTGCCACAAGAACCGTTCATGACGAGTGAAGTTGTCTTGCCCTGCATTCACCCACAGACAGGAAGATGTCCGTTGTTGACAGCAAGTAGATACCGCCCTTGAGATGTGCACGGGGGAATTCATTGGACTGGGTTGTCTTGCTAGGTCAGAAGCCATTTGATAAAACTGGGTGTACACCCTCTCAGTGAAAGCCTGTTCAAAACAAGCAATAGTAAACAAGTCGGATCACGTGAAAGCTCTAAGCAATTGACCAATGCATCCAAGCAAACCAATGCATCCAAGCAAACCAATGCATCCAAGGCACATTCTCAGGATGCTGCTCGTCGGCAACGACCTCAGCCAAGGCTCAGGATTGACAACCTGGCTACGTGCCCATGGAGGTTGGATGAATAATCTCGGAGCCTGCAATTCAACACACGGGCAACCGCAAACCCAGGTTCTGGCTTTCCCAAATAAGATATTCCCATGACTTCATCATGACTTCCCATACACTAGGCAACATCGCGGGCTTCAAAGTTCAAATCAGGCATTGCCAGCGCTATCTTCTTTGAGCATTCGAAAGTGTGGATGGAATATCATCTGCGTCCAAATGGCTGCTGCTCTCTCCAACAAAAGCGCGGCTGAAGGGTCAAGGGCACGTCCCAACGCCTGGGGCCTCCACCTACCTGGGCCTAAACCCAGAGCCACCAAACCCCACCAAACCCCACCAAACCCCGACTGGGGCTCAGGGCGGTGACCCAAATCAGCCAGAGCAGCTTGGCCATAGCAGCTGCCCGCATTGTCCAACCAAAGTACAACCGCAAGTGTGGCTCAAAATTCAAGAGCTAGGCCAAACCGGAGGTTTTAGTCCTTGGTTCCATTTACCAAGGGGGCCAGTTGGGTACATTTTTTTTGAGCCACGGCCAATTCACAGGAAACGAAGATCACCAGTTCCGGTGTTCCGTGAGGAAAAGGTCCCGGAAAACTCAAACCAAAAGCGCCAAAACCTACCGCGACGACCTGCGAGTCAACTGGAAAACCCCAAAAAACATGTCAGCGTCCTTGCGGGGGAAAAAAAAAAAAACAAGTGACGTGCAATCCCGCAGATTGGACAGTTGCGAGAGTGCGGATGCAAAAGTGGCTGGTTGCTGAGGCCATCATTTTTCTTGCCTTGGCAGGACCCCTGTCCCTGCAGCTTGAGCCAGCCTGGCTGCTTGGATGGACCAAGCACGCAGAAGATCTTTGACGCCAACCGGCACAACTCGAAAGGCATAAACACTGGAAACCGCGAAACCATGGCCAAGCAGCATTGTACACCGCAAAACCATGACGTCCCGAGTTTCGGTCATAGTCACCGCCCAATCCCCTGCTCACTCACCAGCCTTGATGAGCAGGCGTGTCTGCTGCTCGGGCACGCCCTGTCAGATCGGCTGGCAAGAAGGCCAGCAAGCCAAAGGGGCAATCTGAGCCACACTGAGAACCTGGCATAAAACGCGTCTCTACCCAAAATCATAGCAGGAATCGAAAGGGCGGGCTCCAGCGCGCCTATTGGTTGGGACTGCCACCTAGACTTCAACCCGAGTTTTGTTCTGAATTGTCAAGGAAGGAATGCCAGGCCTCTGCGATGATTGCAACCTTGCACGTGGAGGAAGGAGCGCTGCAGGTCGCATTTGCAATCGGTGCACTGGCAAATTTGGAGACCCCTTTCAATACCAAAACAAACCTGACAATACTCTGCATCAGTTGATGGATGAGAAGTAGGCACTTGTGAAACAGGGTTTGGAGGCCGTGATCGAGCAATTGTTTCAGATCCAGCAAACAGCTCAGAATTCACCCTTCTGCATGAAAAAAGCCCCCAACAGAAAGGCTTGTAGATGTGTGTAGTGCCTGGGCAGCGTGTGCCATCATGCATCCCATAGTGAGAGGGTAATGAGCTGCAAAGCGTGTCAGTCTCCAAAGTTGTCAGCTCCCCATGTATCAAGACACCCACATACAAGTATTGTTTCAACGCAAAATTCTTCCGGGAGGCGGCAATTGCAACCAAAGCTGCAAATTCAAGTCAGGTTGCACTTGCTTCTTTTCAACACGAGCCGTAGCTCTTGTTGGTCGAGAAAGGGACAGGGACTCCGTTTGACCATCCATGCCAAGGCGTGGCCAAATGGCTCTCCAAGGCCGGCGCGGTCTTGATCTGTGGGTAGAGCATAGCATCCTTGGTCGAATCAAATGGGAGTTTCCTAAAATGGCCGGCATCCTTTTGGATTCCCCTGCAAATACCGTCCAAAAGAACCCAAGGTTTAGGGTCAAGCCCAAAAAAAGAAACAGTCCGAATCATGAAATGGAAGAGATGGATATATGTCGCAGAAACACCGGAGTCGTTGTTTCGTAAAAATACAAGTCGACATACCTGTGCACAAACCTGACTCGCATGTCATCTAAACAATCCTTGAGCCTCTGCCTCAAAGGCACCAACTTCCAGCCAAGCAGCCATGGTGGTCTCATAGACCGATCGGAATGATGCAAAGTTGATGAACCTGCAGAGGACAACATCCCCCCGGAGAGGACAATGCACAAAGCTTCACCAAGATTGGACCAGCGTCAGCGCCCCAAACTGAGTATGATGAAGTCTCCGGGGAGGCTAAGCACCCGGCGTGATTGCCTCGGGGTGCTTCTGGCATGCCTCTTTGGTTGTCGTGTACACAGGCAGCAAGATCTCCTGACACACTGAAAGGTGACCCAACTCCTTTGTCTGGGCAAGGGGACGAGCCACCCAACACAGAGGAACTGCGCCATCTTTCACCCAATGACAATTGAACGGCGCGGAAGCAAGAGCCTATGTTGCATCATGCAGCACCCTGACAGCTGGCCGCAAGGGGCATCTAATCGAAGCTGACCCTCCAGAGAAGGCCGGCCCGTTCAATCCCGTGCCGGTCCATTGGCCATGGCCATCACACCTTGAAAGAATCGCCGTGCACACCATCCTCTGTGCCCCAGTAGAACTTGAGGTAGTGGTTGCCGCTGAAGGGGAAGACCTGCCAAGCCCAAGCCCTTGGCTTGCAGGGCGCAACGGCACTCGCCGAGCGTGGCCCAATTTAGCACCGAAATCAGACCAAAGTAGTCTAAACTGACCTCAGTCAGCTAATCCCAACCAATCCACAATTGATGATAACACGGAACATTTCAACAATACAAGGCAAGAGCCGAAAAAATGGACGAAGCAAGCGGTGTGGTGGCGCACCATGGCGCAAACCGAAGGAGTCTTCCGCTTGCACATGTGGTCGAAGTCCAGCATCCCCTGGCAGCACCCCATTTAACACGACAACGATGCTGCCATGCGCCGTAAAAGTTGCGCAAATGATTACCTGGCTGTGGGTCAAAACCAATGGTACCATTTTGAAGTAGGTGCCCCACCCATTTTAGTCTATTTTAGTGGGGATTGAAGGATGATGAACGACACCTGCCACATCCGGCCAATGTTTGATCCCAGTCTCATATATGCGACCTGTCCCAGCCAACACACGCAAAGGCGCCAGAAGTATAATAGTACGAGTTGCAAAGCAGCTTCCTGCAAGGGGGTGGATCATTTCCGAATTCTGCAGTTGCTCCATTTCCTCACTCCGACTTCCAAATCATTTTAGTACAACGGTTCTGAATGGCTTGACTTTTGAGCTTGACTTCTCACAGTCCCAGTGCCATCCACTTTCCAAGCCGACGAAGAAGCACGCCTATGCTACGGGCCTTCCAAAAACAACCGCTATCCGACGATCCGGCAGCGGTCTGGTTCGAAATCCATCTCGCCTGCACTGCACGGTTTTGCAGGCCGTAGACGATGGCCCTGCGAGAAGAGTGAAACGAAGACGCAGCAGCGGAGAAGCGGCCAAGACTTCGAGGCTGAGGCTTATTCACAACACCTCAGTGTTCAAAGATGCATCGCTCATTGTTCCAGTCCAGGCCCTTACCAAAGCACACAAACAAGTACAAGGCCCGAAACACTTGACTGACTGCATGCCAAAAGTAGTTGACCAATCTATCCGCGGACTTGCATTCTGTCAAGCATTGGACTACGACCTGAGATGGATTGAATCAGAACGTGTTAAGGGCAAAAGTTGGCGCCTTGTAGCCTCCGCACCCGCAGATCCCCCGAATGACAGGCTCGCCACTGAATGCTCAAGTGGAAACCAGGGTTTCCCAGTCCAAACAAATGACCTCGGCAGCTCTTGCAGATTGGTCTCACTGTTTGTGCCGCTCCCGCGTGCCTCGTCTGGGGAGTTGCAGTGACAATGGTGTGCTTGTGACCTGAGCGGTGCATTCCCTCCCAACACCCAGTAAGGGGGAGCTGTGGAGGGTATGGCCACGAATTCATCTGAATTTGCCAGCTGAGTGCCAGCACATGGCAAATGCCCAGCCAAAAGATGCAATGGCTTGCGCCAGCCGCAGTGGGCAGAGCTAGGGGCTATTAACCACAACAAAACCAGGGAGGCGCGCTGATCTTTAGGGAAACACAGGCATTTCGGCCAAGTACCCTGCATCTGTTGGTCTCTTGGTCTTAAGGAAGCGCTTCCACTCTGTCTTGTGGCGCGCTGCTTAGCAGCGCGTCACGTGCTGCAGGGTTCCCATCTGCTTGCAACGTTGGCCAGCACAGGACAAAGAAGGGCGGACTGCTCCGCGAAAAGTTCGGCGAAAAGCTCGTCAAGTCCGACCAGTGAGCCGAGTACCATAATTACAGGAAAACATGGAAGGCCGCTCAAGGTGGTCTTCCCTCAGAACATCGCGAGATCTGTAGCCCAGGATCAAAGCAAGCCGCCCTTTAGGGCCAAAGTCAGCAAGCCGAGGCACAACGACAGGGACCCCTGAACCGTGCGGTCCGCAAAGCTCATCACGGTCATTCTTGTGGTCGTCATGGTGGTGGTCATGGCTGAGCACTCTGGCCCACGTCCTGCTGCGGGCAGCCCCATGAAGAGCTCGTGGAGAAACAGCTTGGTGCTTTCCCAGGACCTGTAGTCAGCGCGATGGCTGTACATCGCCTGCCCAGGAGTGTTGGCACTCCACTCGGTGAAGCTGTGGAAGATGTCCGAGCCATAGCGCACGATCTCGTAGGTCGCGCCAGCCGCCTCAAACTCCTCCTCCAACATAGCGACGTCGGTGGCAGCATCGTCATCAACGCCTGAGTGCAGCAATACCTTTGCTGTTACCGGGGTGGTGCTGTTGCCTCGCATGACACGGGCACCTGCACTGATGCCGGAGTGGTAGCCAACAACTCCCAAGACGTCTGCCCCGAGAATGGCCATGTTCACGACACCGGTGCCACCAAAGCAGTAGCCAATCACTGCAATCTTGGAAGTGTCCACAAAATCATACGACTTGACCTGGTCCAATGCTGCATGGATCTTGGACATGTAGAGATCTGGGTTGCCTCTGTGCGCGCCGGCAGCCGCAGCCCAGTCCGACATGTCCTCAACGGGAGTGCCTCTGCCATAGATGTCTGCAGCAAAGGCTACATAGCCCATGTCTGCCAGCATGCGCGCACGCTCCTTCTCATAGTCATTCATTCCATTCCAGTCCTGAATGATCACGACTGCGGGGCACTTCATGCCGGAAGAGCAGTGGCTGCTGTTGTATGCCACATAGCCATCACAAGTAGTTGTGTTGCAGGTGTAATTGGCCATGGACGTATGAAGGGACTCAGTCTCTGGCCCACGTCCTGCTGCGGGCAGCCCCATGAAGAGCTCGTGGAGAAATAGCCTGGTGCTTTCCCAGGACCTGTAGTCAGCGCGATGGCTGTACATCGCCTGCCCAGGAGTGTTGGCACTCCACTCGGTGAAGCTGTGGAAGATGTCCGAACCATAGCGCACGATCTCGTAGGTCGCGCCAGCCGCCTCAAACTCCTCCTCCAACATAGCGACGTCGGTGGCAGCATCGTCATCAACGCCTGAGTGCAGCAATACCTTTGCTGTTACCGGGGTGGTGCTGTTGCCCCGCATGACACGGGCACCTGCACTGATGCCGGAGTGGTAGCCAACAACTCCCAAGACATCTGCCCCGAGAATGGCCATGTTCACGACACCGGTGCCACCAAAGCAGTAGCCAATCACTGCGATCTTGGAAGTGTCCACAAAGTCATACGACTTGACCTGGTCCAATGCTGCATGGATCTTGGACATGTAGAGATCTGGGTTGCCTCTGTGCGCGCCGGCAGCCGCAGCCCAGTCCGACATGTCCTCAACGGGAGTGCCTCTGCCATAGATGTCTGCAGCAAAGGCCACATAGCCCATGTCTGCCAGCATGCGCGCACGCTCCTTCTCATAGTCATTCATTCCATTCCAGTCCTGAATGATCACGACTGCGGGGCACTTCATGCTGGAAGTGCAGGTTTCATGGCCATAGGCGATGTAACCATCGCAAGTGGTTGTGTTGCATGCGTACGGCACCATAGAGGTGTTCTTCTCCATGCAGTGATCATGATGGCCACCATGCTGATGACCCCATGCTCCTGCAAGCAAGACGAGAAATCGAGCGGTCATTGTCATTGCGCAGAAGATCGGCGAATATGTCTGAGTTCAAATGCTGGAGGCAAGCCATCTGTGCAACTCAACTGCACGTGAGTTCAAGGTGAAACCCCACAAGTGAATCACTGGCTTCACACTCCGAGGCCATCAGGATGGAAGATGCTGGGACTTTGGCTTGTTGGCTTACATTGCCGTAATTATCCTGTCAACTGCCTGATTTTGGTGCGCGCGCGTTCTGGGGCCACCAGTGAATTCTGAATTTCCAAGCTAATTGTAGATGCTTCGTTGGATCTATATAACCCCCTGTGTCAATGGCATCAGCGCTGGTAGGATCACAAAATGCTTTCCAACAAGCTTCATCAAGTGTTCTTGGCCGCTAAGACATAAGCCGCCTGTGCGGATCTTGTGGGATGGCCATATGTGAGCCCGAATTGTACGGCCCTTCGTTTGTCCAGCTCTGATCCATGACGAAATTTGCAAAGGAACAGCTTGCAGCCTGTCTCGTGCAAAAAAAACACAGAATTCAAGATCGAGCTCGTGTGGGTTGCTTTTCAAATCTTGTCCCTAAAGGAGGCACAAACGTGCAAGGGCCCGCTTGCTCTGACAGCCCCGTATCCTTGCATGCCCAAAAGACCAGCATCTGAGCGGCCGGCCGTTGGATGGCTGTTGCTTCGGTTTCGCCTTGGCCTTCACCTGATACGGTGACTGCCCTCGTCCCCTTGGAGGAAACAAACAAAGGAAACCGGATTAAGTGGGTTGGACATCCAGCTTACAACTGCAAACAAAAAGCGCGCTTTTCGCAAACAGGTCAGATTCTCGATTGTAAGCATGCGGCTTTGCCCCAGACGACTCATCTACCTGTTTGAAGGTTTGAAGAACTAATGTCGAAAGGGAGAAGCACAAATTGAGAGATCTTGTCTGATCTTGTCGTTTCACCTCCCTCATGTCCGCCGCATGGCAGAACAAACTGCTGCTCCTGTGCTCAAACACCTCCAGTCTCAGAGAAGACAAAGCTCCTTGGGCGGTTCGGTGCGTTCCCCTTTTGGGTTTGTCTCCAAAGGGCCCCACACCCTTGCGGCACCCTCCCCTCACTCCCCCCTGCTCCCTCCAGCGCCTGAATCGGCTTCCGCTTCGGCGGGGGCGCCGGGCCGGCGTTCAGGTCCGGCCTCAGGCCCCAAGCGCCGCTCCGGCGCCCCTAGCAACAGCTTAGCAGTTGAGTCTTGGGAGCTGCCCCCCCCAAAAAAAAAAAAAAAATTGACGACTCACGATCTGAATTTCAAGGATTGAGACGCCTCCCGAGCTTCTGCACACTTCCGTCATCGCTTTAAACCCAATCTCATTCGTCGGATTGGCCATCCTTCCGATGGGATTTGCGCTCCACACAATGCCCTCCGCTCGGCTTTCTGCATTTCTCATGCCTTTCGTGGTGCGCCATTCCAAGCCATGGCACCGGCTTCGGGCTTCCCGACTCTGGCAGAGTCTGTTGGAGGCCCAGAGCCATGGGAATCACCGCCTGGCCGACGACTTAACCATGGACTCGTGCATTTCAGCTCACTGGTGCCGCCCACCGAACGCCGTATCCAAAACAGACATGCCCAAATTCAGAAATCGGCAGCTTGGCTAGGTGCCTCATGAAGAAGAAGCCTCGAATCTACAAGCCCTTGTAGCATTTGAACAAAAGGGTCGGCATACTTCCACGAGCAAACTCAGTATAGATCAACACTCCCAACGAGCTATTCCTCATGGGATGCGCATGAATGGCGCCTTTGGCGCAGAATTTCTGAATTTGTCTACTCCCCCCTCTTAAAGAGTCGATGCCAATGTTCCTCTTCATGGCGTAACAGCCACCCGCCGAAAGGTTTGTTCATCACCGGTACTTACCATGAGGATTCCTACGCTGTGCCCGACGGTTGCTCTTACTGGACTGAAATCCCAGTCCAGGACCTTCAAACAGCAAGTCTAAGAAGGATCCAAGCCCAGAACGCTCCGACTGGACGGATCACCTTGGGAAGGACGACTCTTCCCAAAACAGGCCCAGGTCTCAGTGATGTGCGTCTCAGGGCCATAGACCTGCAAGCAGCCGAAACGATCCATCGCCCGTGAACGCTCCCAAAAAGGTGTCATGTTCTTGACACCACAAAAGGAATCATGTCTCACTCAGTCTAGAATGGTCCATGGTGTTCAGGCGGGGGCCTTCTCATGCACTCATCTTGTAATGGGAAGCCATGTAAAACCTGAAGGTGCTAGTCATAGTCGGCAACTCTGAAAAGACCCGCGGAGTTGCTTGACCATTGGATTCGGCTCACAATGGCTGCAAGCCGCAAAATGTACCCAGGGGAGCATAGGCTCCAATGCTTCAGAGCCATGACTTCCCTTTCTCTTCACCTAGCTGTAGTGTATGTTGCTATCATTGGGTGATTTCCTGCAAAACAGAGATGTTTGGAAAGCCTGAGGATGTGAAAGCCATGAATTATCTCTGTCCTGTTTCCCATCAAGAAGGTCGTGAGAGACTTGGGGTCCATCTCAGGCTGAGCAGAGCATTGAAGCCTGCAGCATTTGCACTTCCAACACATCCTGGGCTTCTGCGACATTGGGGAGCTGCACCGAGAGGTTCAGCTCTGACTGAGATGTTCTAGTGGAAAAAAACAGTTCCCCTCGCAGTTCCTCCACAGCATCTGAATGTGTGACCATGCAGGCCGCCAAAACCGGAGCTGCAACGCGACGCCAAGAGACATGCCAAGCCCACTGTGCCATGCCGTCCACCTAATTACGTATGTGGTTCTGTGTCAAATAGGGATCCTCAATGGTGGTTTCCCTACTGGTTGCCAACTCAAACAACCTGCAAGGTCTGCCCTCAAACAGGCACAAACTGCCGTGGATGTCGAAGCCGCCTTCACGCCCAGGCCGAGCTTTTGGCTGGCAATCTTCAGCTTCTTCAAGCCCTGGCAAAAGGGCTCAATAAGTGCTAACATCCCGGAACATCTTTTGTGGATTTGCTTCAATGGATGTCTCAAAAATATCTGGGACACTTTGAACTATGGTGGTTTACCGACACAGCCGCAGCCGGTGGGGGTGCCGGACATTTACATAAGGATTGATGTCTAGCCAATGCAAAGCCCTCTCCTCCAAGTAGTTCGGCCCCGCTCGTCTGCACCAGATCTGAATCTTGTGTTCCTGCGGAGGCAATTGGATGCAACCTATTCACCTATTCAAGTGGGAGAGAGCTCTTGAATAACAATTCTGTGCAGTTGTGTGTCTTCAGCAAAAGGCATGGGCAGTGATCCAAACACCTGCGCAGAACCAGGAGTTGCGTTTGTGTCCTTGATCTGGTCTGCAAACATGTCCAAGGCTTTGATGAGACCGGTGAAGGTGGCCGCCACGTCCGTGAAGTTGGCAATGCCTGTATGCCGGTGATTCTCCTTTGGTTTCCCTCTTGATCAGCCCCGAAAAAGGGCCGCTCAAAAACCACACACCCAAGTCAGTCCCAGGAGGCGTAAGCAGCTAGCTGGCTGCAAAAGCGCAGTTCCGCAACCAAATCCCGCCCGCCAATGCCCCCGCTCGTGCCTCCTCCAATGATGAGGAACTTGCCCTTGCAAAAAGCCAAGGGCGAATGGCACAGGAATGTTCCAATCACGCGTGAAAGAGGGCGCTGTCAGAGTTTCTACGCCAGGCATGCAAAATATGGATGAGGGTAGTTGGAGCACGCGGTAAGGGGCCAGGGGTTCGCCAATGAGGCGGCGGCTTACGAACAAGGCATCTACTCAAAAGGAACGCTGCTACATTGACTGCAAGTACTCTCCCGCAATTCAAGACGCCCCCGTCACAATCCGTGGCCCAAATAAGCAAGCCCCACCCAGCTTCACCTAGCCCCAGACTGCGGAGCCTTTTGGCCTGCCACCCCTCAATTCTTGGCACTTCGCCCGGCCCCAACCCCTGGGCAAGCCACGCTCAGCCAACCGGCTGCTGTGGCCCTTGGAAAGTCACCTAGCCCCAGCCCTGCCCTGAACTACGGCTCTAGCTGTCCTTCAGCTCCAAGCGAATAGTTTGACGACATCCGACACTTTCACGCAGGGCCAGACATGCGTGTCGTTTCTTGCCAAGCCTCTAAATAAATCGCCCTGGCCCGGGCCGTGAGCCGGGCAGCGCGATGCGTTCACAATCTGCTTTGCCGGGAGTTGGGGTACACTGACAAATGCCCTCGCCCTCTTCATGAGCCCGTCCTCAGGATGCTTGTAGCGACACATCAGGGACAGGATGGTTTTGGCGTAGGTGAATGTCTCCTGGCCAGATCATCCAATGATCGGCTTGTTGCGAGTGTCATGACGCAAAAACAACGAGCATTCAGAGGGGTGTGGCTTAGCGCCTTTCTCTCACACTCGTGCTTGAATTCTGATATTGCAAGTACCAAGATAGCCTTGATGGCCTTGAAAATCAGAGGCTTCTCTTGCCATCCTACAAACTTCAGAAGCACAACACCCTTCTCAACTGTTTTAACTTTTCTAAAGGTAAGCCTGGTATGTGCGCGCCATTCGTAAGACCTGGCAGCCTTCTCTCCTTCCCCCTCTCGCCTCCGTGCTGGGTGCTCCAGAGTACTCTCCGTAGTTGGCGAGCTCGGCTCCCCAACCGTAGTCCTCAAAGGAGGTCGTATGTCTCCCAGGGTCGACCATTCCGGCTAACAAGATGTTCAAATGAGTGGTATCCATTTGCTTTCCCTCAAAACGACCAGGTGATATCCCCAACAGCATGCGGTGCTCTTTTTAGTGCTCGCACCACCCCGCAACCCTCGCAGAACCTCGTAGAACCCTGGTGGAGCCTTCGTGGAACCCTCGTGGAACCTTACCCCAGGTCAGCCCCGGAACACCCCGGAGCCGATCTGGGCTGAGACCCCAAAGCTGTCAGCTGTGGGGGAAAAAGGAATGCCATCGCAAGTGCACACCCCATGTGTCGCCCAGGCCCCCAACCCATCCGTTGACCCTTCCCCCCGGAAAAACGGCCTCCGGAACCCAAGCTGGGCGCGCGGGCCGCCACGGTGTCGGAGTACACCACCGAGGCCCCGCCACCGGCCACCATGGTCCACACCTACGGCGAAACGGGCAGTCCCTCAGGTCCCACGGGTGCCACGGGAGAAAGGCGACGCGTTTCTGCACAGAACGTGAGGCCTGGTGGATTCTGCTGGGCCCTGGTGGGCAGGAATGGAAACCCTGAGATTGCGAGATCATCGCAAGCTCGTCATAGGGCAACAGAAGTTATAGCGTGCCTGGGGACTTGCTGCTTTCCGGGCAGGAATGAGCAGCAGCCTTGTACCCTTTGCATGCTTGAAGGCCACACAGCAGGTAAAAATAGAATATGATCATCATTTTACCCCCCCTTGGAAGTAGCAACATCCCAAGTTCAGGAAAGCCATCAATGCATCTTTGTGCCTAAGGTGTATTGGAGCTTGAAGTCTCATCAACATGCAAGCAAGCAACGATAGTGCCCAAAAAGGACAAAAGGTAATCGTGCCCCAACAGTGCACCTAGGGTTAGCGTCGTGCTTCTATGTGGCGGTGGCTCAAAAAACTGTACCTGAATGGCACCCTGGAAAATGGAACAAAAGACCAAATCTTGCGTCACCCCAGCTGATTGTTTTGAGCCAAATCTTCGAAATGATGCATATAATTACCCTCACACACCTCTCACACAGTTGAACTTGGGAATGCCGACGTTCGGAAGTCCGACACATGGGGTGCCACGTCCGGCGATTCCGCAAGCTCTGTGAGCTCGGCTCGGCCCTTGTCGTTGAGGATGGTGAGCTTCAACGATGCCCCGGTCTTCCTTCAGCGATCAGCTCACATGGCGATGAATTTTCTTCGTCCAACCAAAGTGAAAAAATCCCCACCCGAAAGAACAAAAAAAACATGGGGGCCCCTGCAGGTGGGTGGTGTCCTTTCTTGCCGGAACAGACTTGGAAATTCGCAGTTGTTGGGCAATGACCACTTCGTAGGACCTGCATTCGTCCCCCCGATCCTGGCGTTTGGGGGGGGAAAAGGGGTCATGACAACCCGGACGCAAGTTTGCCCCAAATACACAGGTGTAGCCTCCTGCAACTCCGAAATCCTGGGTCATCAATGTCAATCAATGTGAGGTGTACGTCTCAGAACGCACAGCGTCCCCCAGGCAAGTCCAATGACATCCTGCGGCATGCGGGCTAAGATTATTTTGGCTAACACCTCAAGCTCTGAGAATCCGGACCCGTCCAAGTCCCGGATCAGGGCCTGAAGAGATGACAAAGAACTGCAAAATATGGCTGGAAGCTGTTGAATCATCGGCTGTGGTGATGCTCGGGAGCCCCAAGGCTCGCTACTTAAGTTGCTAACTCGCAAACTTTCTCTCACCTCATAGATCGCTATTCGCGAGTGTCTCTGCTCCGAATAGGATTTTTTATACAAACGTGCATGTGTGGTCTGGTCCGCTCTGACCAAAGACAAGCTGGTCCGGTCTTGTGAGCTTGCGGGGTTTGGCACAGGCAGTACAGCAAAGAACGGCCTCCTCCGGGTAGGCAGCTCGGCCGAAGGGGGATGGCCTGGGGCTGCAGCTCTTGCACCCAACCACAACAATATGTTTGGTTCTGGTCCTTATATATTTGTGGACGTTAAAATTCAGAAACAAATGCAGCAAAAAAAAATCGGAAGAGGGCGACAAAATCACGGATTGCTATCCGCTCTGTTGCCAACACTGCAGCAGAGCACCAGCACTAGTCCCAACGGTTCGCGGCAAAAAAATATGGAAGCCACTACCGCCAATGAGATGTACTGAAAGCCATACCAAACGGCGGAAGAAAACTAACCCCTGAACAAAGAGCCCTCAACCTACAAAAATGACAATAATGAGCGCACCTGCAAACAACAACCAAATCACCGTATGAGGGTGTCACACTTGGGGGTCCCTGCTTCAACTTTGTAAGTGATTGTCGTCTGTACAGCTCTGACCGGGTCCATCTCGGCGTTCACCAGCCCCCACCAGCCAGCCCCTCAGCACTTGGTTGGCCGGGCCAATCGAGCTCACCCCACTTCGGAGCGCACCTCGGGTCGCAGGTGTCATGATCCAAGGACGGGGCTGTGAAAGTGCAAACGCATATGCCTCAAAAGTTGCAGTCTGGCAAGTTGCATTGCTTCACTTCAAGTTGACTGACCTCAATATCAGCGCCAAAGGCCAAACGCAGATTTTTACAAAGCAACGTTGAAAGATATGGTCAGACGTGGTTCTGGTTGCTCAGTTGTTGTGCCGCGCGGCACCGGTACGTTAAGGCTCCCTGCAAAAAGGACGCTGTCTCATCGATCTTTGCGACAAGGTCCAACGGCACGATCTGCGAACAGGTCTTTCGATTGCATGGCACTCCCCCAACCCGGAACAATGAAAACTTAGGAAACAACGGTCACTCAGAACAGCGCGTTGCGGCCGTTGCAATGCCGAAAGCTGGACCACTCCCCCACCTTGTTGTCAGCGAGCATCGCGATGGGGTTGATCTCCAAATACGCAAAGTGCAAGTCCTTGTAGAAGGTGTACAAAGCCCTGATGAAGCTGGCCAGGGTCTCTTGCTTTTTGGGATCCACCTGGCCGGCAACGTGGGTATGCTGCTCTGATTCACGCGGTCAAGAAAAACAAAGTCCCTCCCTCACGACGTTCACCAAAAAAATATGAAACAGCATCGCTGTTGACCCTGGTGCGCTTGCTCCAGGCCATGTCCTTTCTGGGGGCAAGCTTGGCCTACCTCCACCGGGAAATCTACACTTGTTGGGGGGCTGAAGGCTCCACAGTTAGGGGGCGCTGACCCACGGGTTTGGCAACAGGCAACTCCTTTCGAGCCTGCTCCGCCCCCGCTTACCTTGCTTCTGTTCCGGCATGTAAAAAAACAGTCCATGGTTTGACATTCCTTTTGCATTCACCCGGATTCAGGGAATAGACTCTAGAGCAATCAGCACACGCCAACGACGCCCAATCCGGAAAACAAACAACGAGATGCTTTCCAGTGGCTTGAAAGACTGACAAAAACGAAACGATCTTATCGTCCGGTCGCTGTCCGAAGACTTGGCGGCCTGAGCAAAGTTTGCAGGAGACCTTGCATCTCAAAAAAATGCAGGTCGCTGTGCGCTGCGATGTGTGCAGTTTGTTTGTCTTGCGTGGTCTTATCTACATTTTACCTAGTCAACGGGTCTTTCCCCTAGCATCACAGATCACAGAAAACCATTGCTCCAAAATACGCTTGATAAGCCCCTGGAACTGCAAACCGCGATGTCTGAACTTGGTGAGCAGCCTCCAAGAAGCATAATTAGAGGGCACCCCTTTCCAAAAACAAGGAGCCACCGCGCTCTTCAGTCCAGATGCACGCTCAATTAGCTCTAGGGTGGTCACAAGAAGCGAGGGCCCTCCCAAAAAACAGGGACCCTCCCCAGAAATCCACCAATGGTCCTCAGCTGGTTACAAAGAACCACTGTTTGGCTGACAAATGCCCGACGGTTGAACCGAGCCCGGGTAGAAGACCCTCCCTCCAGCACTCGAAGCTTGCGCTGGCACGCTGTTTTCCGGGCCCGGCAAAACTGCGGTGGATGCCTGAATTGAACAGGCCAACGGCAGCGTCTGCGATTCCTACCTAAAGCACATGGCTGCGGGTCAAACATGGGTACCCAACATGGAACCCTGGTAAATGGAGCCCATGACGAAAACAGGCGGTCCCCTGCTGGTTTAATTTTGACCCACACCCACATTGGGATGATCCGCATCCATTGGCGCCATACGCTTCGTGTTGGAGCAAACCGCCTCCTCGTCCGCAAGCCCATCATTCACGGACGCGCAGATCTTTGATTTTTCGGAATTGGCGACCTTTCCGTACAAACTCTCCAAGCCGTCTCTCGTCCATGTGCTCCAATCGAACGCGCACCTCTTTCATCCCTGCCTGATAAAGGCACCAAAGCCGTCTGTGATCGAAAGAGAAGAAGTACCTTTCATCATCAATCTGGGCTGCGGCCATCCGCAATACAAGGTAGTCAGTGTTCAGTGGATCCACCCGCCCTTCTCGTAGATCTCTCACGCACGAGTTCAGCGACATCCCATTCTTGAACTTTGGACTGATGCCCTCCTGGAGGACAAACACCTTGTTCATCTCCACCACCATGGTGCCATCATTGAAGCGCTGTACCTCGCGCAAGGGCTCCTCCTCCTCGTCCAACTCCTCCTTCACCCGCCCAGCCAGCAGCTCCCTGAGCCTTTCCCAGTTGTCTTCCTCGCATTCTACCTGCCAGGAAATGCAATTCATCTAGCCTCCACAGAATCATCCAAACAAGCTGTCCTTCCTGCTACGTACCCTTTCGTGGAAAATGTTAGTGGGAGGTACCGACACAGAGGACACTGGTTTACATTGCAACTGTCGACTTCAGGATTCGAATATAGCTTCGCGATTAGAGCTTCAAGTTTCAAGATTTAGATGAACAGGACAGAGTGGCTGAGAGTTGACGAAACATCAAAATGGCACCCGGCTATGCCCCGCCTGCTTGCCATCTATGGTCATGGTGAGCACCTCGACTTCAGCTTCCAAGTCGACTCGTTGTTTCTTCTTCTTCGGCGGCTCTGATGAATCAAGCGATTGTAAAAAGATGTGCACTTCAGACCCTTCCTGCGACCATATTGCCCATTGAAGTGCATTCCACTGCGGATGGTACTCGGAGCCAATTGTCAGGTCAGCCCCCATGTTCACGCGTTCCTTGACGCAATCCATGCAATTGGCCTGAATTGCATGCCAAAAAAAGTATTGATCCCGCTTTGCATTGCTCCAATCCCTCATCCGCTTCATATTGTTTCTGCTAGAGTGATAGCCAGGGTTGAGGGCTGCGCCCCGGCAGAAAGGCATGGCTCAAACGGCTCTGAGGGTCAACAAGGCGCAGACTCCAAGTTGCCAAACGTGCTCATAGACATGTTGATATTCTGCATCGTGAGATACTAGTGCTGCAACGGAAGCACCATTAAGAATGCAACCATGTTTTGGAAGAGCCTACACGAATGTTTATGGCGGACAATGTGAGGCTGCTTCGTGTCATGGAACGGCGAACGGTGCAAGAGGGCGGCATTTGGCTGTACTGTGTTCTTTGTTCTTGATGTGTCCTGTCCTGAGGGGAGCAGACAAAAAGGGTGGCTTTCGAAAAGGAAAAGGTGCCCGGCCTCAGACAAAAAAAGGACAGACCCTCTTCGTGTTGGCTGCTAAAAGGCTCAAGCCAAGGACCACAGCGTCGAGTCCCTCTGAGGTACAAACAAAATGAAGTCCTCCCCAAGCCAACAGTAGGCTGCCAAGCATGTGTTAGTTGCTAACATGATCCTACAACTTCCAGGCGAGAGAAGTAGAGGGAATGTTCCCAAAAAAAATAACCGTTGTTGAGACATGCGAGTACCCAATCCAAAGCCCGAAACACAACCACCAACTCCCACCAACAGCAAGAGAAAGGAAGCCACTGCTCTACTGCTAAAACGCCCAACCAGGAGAGAGACTTCACCCCTGAGCCACCAACACTCGAGTTGGGCCAACAACCTGCTTTTCAACCTCTTCTTTGGCTTCCCTCTCAAAGGGGGCCAGACATACTAACTCGTTGAACAATACCTGCAACCAACCCTCGCACTCACCCCACCCTTATATGAATACCGTTTCTTTATTTCATATGTGTTCGTCCAAATGAGGGACTCCAAAACTGGTTGGTTCCCTCTCGCCTTTCAAAACCAACCACAAAGGGTGGCTCGCCCCACAAAAAGAGACGCACACATACTTATCAGCTACATCTATACATTCATATGCCCCCCCCCCAGACCCCACCCCACCCCCAAAACCCAACCCCCACCCCCACCCCCCACCCCCCGCCCACCCCCCCCGCCTTGTCCAGCAGCTCCACCCGGATCAGCGGCTCCGACAGCTCCGCGCCCGTGGGCACCGCCAGCTTGGAGGCCTTGGAGTCCACGTCCCCCACGTCCACCCCCCCCTCGTGGTAGAAGAAGATCTCGTCCTTGTACCTCCCAACAACAAAAAAAACGAAAAGAACGAGACAAGACAAGAGCCACCACCACCTGGCACCAGGAAAAGAACCACCTGGCGTTTTAAAAGTTGGGAAATGAGAGGAAATACGCAAAAAGCCGCACTGTTTTGGGGGTCACCTCGAAAAACCGGGGGAAAAAAACACCGGAAAGGAACCACTGGCAACCTGACCTGGCAACAAAAAAAAACACGACCTAGGAAAGTACCTGAAGAAGGAAACCAGAAAAGAACCACCACCTGACCTGGCTTAAAAATGGAAACTCAGAAGCAAAGCCGCTCTGTTTTGGGGGTCCAAGGCCACTGTTGGAGAAAACAGAAAAGAAAAGAAAAGAAAAAAACTAGGAAGGTGCTAAACCGCATGAACACCTGGTATGAAACCCTGGACAAAACAAGCCCCGTTTACTCATATGGGTGGGGAATCATCAGTTTTGGAGTGGAACACCGCCCTATTGAAAACCACCTGGCTTAAAAGCCCTAAACCCCATGAAAACCTAGTGGACATTTGCACCTGGACGAACGTGGAACGGTCCTTTCCGCTCAGAAACCCCCAGTCAGTTCCATGATATGGGGTACTAAGCCTGTCGCACCTGGCATTCAACTTCAAAGCTATTAGACCTGGTTTCAAAGAGTATTGACGCTGCAGGGTGTAAGAGCTGGTATCAACACCTGGCATTGAAGAGTCCCAATAAAGACCACTGGAAAAGGGTGTCCTTGGACCTAGGAACAATTCCAACCCTCCCTTGGAACAGGGACGCCATGGTCAGCAAGACTTGAACAAACTGACTCGGTCCGTACAGTTTCGCGCCACAAACCCCCACCCCACCTGTGAGACTGCATGCACACGTAGAACTCCTCGCCAGGATGAGGCGAAGCACATGCTCCAAACATCATTCGGGTCCCCCCTTGAAGGGGGATGCTTTGATCAGGGATGGTTTGATCACCGCAACCCACTGCAGGAGCTTCCACAAATCAGCTTGCCCAAGCTCCCTTTCCGCCAGAATTTCCCCTGGCTTCTTGGAATCGAGCCCTCCGGCGAAACCCACGGTGCTCCTCGCTCTGCTCGTGCGGCACGAAGGGCTCGATGAGGAAGTGGGTCAGCTGCCCCGTGATCCCCGCCACCGTGGAGTCCTTGCAGATCCGCGCCATGATCCAGGCCTGGCCACGGAGCAACGGGAAACCGATTCGGAACACCAGGCTGAAGGCCGCATGGTGTATTTTTTGACACATACCCATCTAGTGGTACAACAAAAAGGGGGGGAACAGAAATTCACTTGGCATTTCTCAGGTCATAGGTCTCAGCCATCTAACTATAGGTTGGCGGACTGAACTTCGTGATGCATAATGGAAGCTTGGAAGGGCGTTCGAACTTTCTGGGCGCTGGCTTGTTTCGTGTCGCGACTATTGGCCATTGTTGCGATGTCTTCGCCCGAAGAGCCCAAAATGCTCAAACACGACCCAACTGGCCAGTTGCAGGGGCTGCCGTGTAGTTCAACCGTAGAGAAATGTCCCTTTCTTTTCAGGGATTCTTCTTTTCTGCAAAGTGCAAGAAACCCGGCAGAAATGACTGGCGGTTGAAAAGAATCTAAGAAGGCGGTTGAGAAGAACAACCCCTAGTGTGTGGTTATCCGTTTACCTGTTCCAAGCGAACCACCCTGAGTGCGTAAAACAGCTGGTTTCCTGCTGCGAAAACGCCTGGGATCCGGTGGAATCAACCCCATGGACCGCGCCTTGATCTCCTCGAAGGATTTGTTCACTGCGATGAGCCCGGCTTTCCCTCGACCCCCGATCATCTGATCCGGCTTCGCCACCAGCTTCGACGTCTTCAGCCACGGATTCCTGGCAAGCAACAGTTGAGTCATAATCAAAGCCCGGTATTGAAATGGTCGACCCAGAACCATGTAAAGAATTAAGAAGGCGGCCGCAGCTATTTATGGTTGGGATTTTCCCTTGCTAACCTTCATCTACCCGGGTTTTGACTGTGCCTCAGTTGAGCCTTTTGGGACGCTGCTGATGCTTGGTGCCGCCTTCAAAGGGCGGGTCTAAACGGGGGTAGGGGCCGGTGGCCGTACTTTCAAAAGCTGACAGTGGCTGCCTGAAGGGCTGGCAATGCAGAACGGTTGAGAGCCGTCCACCCCAACCAACCTTGCTGTAAACCAAACCTCAGAGCAGGTCAATAGGCGTCATGTTCCTCAAAACAGACCGGCGATCAATTCCCGAGCCTGAGGCAACATGAGTCACAATCAAAGCCCGGTATTGAAATGGTCTACCCAGAACCATGTAAAGAATTAAGAAGGCGGATATCCGCAGCTATTTCTGGCTGGGACTGCCCCTTACCAACCTTCATCTGCCCGGGTTTTGATTGTGGCTCACATGCACCTAAGGCCAGTGGGCCTGAAGCTGGCGCCCCTGGGTCCAACTTAGGCAGGGAGGCTTCTCCAAGATGGCGCTCCAATCATCGCCTTTGCTGCTGTCCAGCACCTGATCTGATCACTCATGCTGCTCAAAAAATGCAAAGTCTGGCAGCAGTTCAGCCTGTGTAGCAGCACATCATATCAATATATTGGTGGCGCAGCCTGTTGGCTGGGCCTACCTTGTGGGGCGCCCAAAATGATGTCAAACAGTTGTCATCTTGACATTGCAACAGGCTTGAAGGGGGTTCGTAGCTCAGAAACTCAGAAGTTCAGCCGCGCGCAGCCGTTCCATGTCAGCATGCCCCACAGAGGAGCTCTGAACTGGCTGAGTGCCGGACCCCCGGTGTCACCATACACCCAGCGTTGTCCAAGCCAAAGGCATTGTTGGAATACCTGGCCGGGCTGGAAATCAGTCTGCGCACCACAAAAAAGGATTTATTAACCAGCAAAACGCAGAAGAAGACACATGAGCCTGTTCTGACTTTAATGTTTGCCTTTAAAGATCACTGTGAGGCTGTTGGTAACCATTGACCCTTTCTTCTTACGAGGGGCGCTTCCTTGCGGAAGATCCACTGCTTCAAAGGCATGCTTCAACTCGTCAGTGAAAGTGAAAACACCACAGGGTCTCCATCGATTGGCGGGAGCTTCCGGAAGGCAAACAGGGCCAGCAGGGCTCCGGCAGCCATCGCTTCAGGAGAGCCTCCCGGAAAGCTGTGAGCTATGGCTATCTTTTTGTCAGAATGTGATGGCGTTGACTTGGGATGCGTCTCAACGTCATCCTCTTCCTCCTCCTATTCTCACAATAAACAACACCATCACCGGCAGCAGAATCACCACCACAACCACCAGCATCATGATGATGATGATGATGATGGTGGTGGTGATGATGATGATGATGATGATGATGATGCCCTTTGTCGCTAGATTGATTTGCGTGGAAGCGCCTTGACAACCTGTTGCCTGCATTCCGGCCCGCCTTCCCTTCGTGCTCTCGGATTGACTTCACCGACATGGCCTGGCGATCACGGGGCAATTCGCGTGCGAATGTTCCCAACTCCCACCTTCCCGAACAAAGTCACCTTCACTTAGGGAATACCACCAGATCTGCACATCTCTTCCTTCCGCCACTTTTTGAGTGGAACTCCAGTCAAGTCGAAACATCATCTGAGAGCGCCGCCGGCCTCAGGCCTCTCAGCGGGACAAGCGCCTGTCCGCCTTGAGCCAACAGCTGCGCGGCTTGCGCAACTAGGGCTGCCGAGGCGAGCTGGAAAGCCTTGGCTCAAAGCTCTGATTGGGGCAGCTCATGGATGATTCCCAATGCACCCCATATGGGCCATATGGGTGTTGTAACATGAACCCTTGTCAAACTTTGAGCGGGGGCCATCGCTGTTGGCGGTGCAGTTCATGTGGATGGCAGCGGTTGACACTTTAGTTAGGATCATTTGGTGGGGATTTACGTCCACCAGCCATACTACAGTCATAGCCACGTATCAGCACTTGGAAGCCCCGCAGTCTTCCATCTACAGACCTCGCACTTTGTGCACGTTGCCCAAGATGCTGCTTTCGCACACGCACCTCAGATCCACAAGTCCAAGGCCTGCAGGATGGAAGATCTGACCCAAACAGTGTGTGTATGTTTGTGTTGGGACCCTCCATGATGTGTTGGGTTTTCTTTTGAATAAAACCCTGTCACATGCATTGAGTCCTTATAAACATCAAAGTTTTGTAAAAACCCTACATTTGCTTTAAAGCTGCAGGACAGTTTTTGTGATCCAAAGACTTCCACCCTGCAAGAAGGGCGACCTAGAGACCTTCAGTCCGTGGAAATCGCGCGCCGCTACCCTCACCCCAATCCAACGGTGTTCCAAAAGCCGGCCTCGGCAGCTTCAGCCTCCAAGCCCGTGATGTTCGTCGGGTCCAGCTTGACCACCTCCTCTGGCGCTGCCTGTGTAGCGGCCTTTGGGCAGTTGGGTCTGATGTCAAGATGCCACTGCGATGGCACGAAGTCCGCAGGGGTCCCAAAAGCTGCGGCCAGGACACGATTCGCCTGACCCAGCTCCGTGGTCTGGTGGGCGCTCTTGACTATCCAGGTTCTGTGTGATGAATTTCACGCCCTTCGGAGCAAAAGGTACTCCTCGCTGGTCCTGAGCAACTTCTTCAACCAAAACCAACCAACCAACCAACCAACCAACCAACCAACCAACCAACCAACCAACCAACCAACCAGCCAGCCAGCCAGCCAGCCAGCCAGCCAGCCAGCCAACCAGCCAACCCGGCAGACCTGCCCAGCCCACTCCAGGGCTGCGGAAATAAGACCAGGAGTATCCCAGCAGCGTTGGCCCAAACTCATCCCCAAAACTTCCCGTCTCCGGAACGCTCCTGAGACTTCAGGGCACACCAAACCCACTAGCTAAGCTCCCATGGCTGTTGCAGTCGGGAAGAGCTCCCATTCGGTCCTGGGCAGCTTTTCCAGAATGCCGGAGTCGGGGTGCTCAACTGCCAGCAAGTCCTGGACACCATCGCTCTGACAAAAACCCGAGCAACCATCGACACCCACCAAAAAAAGAAGTCAAAGCGTCGCGGTGTTGGAAATCCGGTGAAAACCACAGAGTTGGCCAGACAATTGTTTCGCCCACCCCATAAATAGACTTTGAATGATGTCTGTCCGGAACACAAGATCCTCTCACAGAGAATCAAAACTTTGAAGTCCCTCTTGAAATCAAACTACCCATACTTGTTGGGAGTTTCATCAGTACAGTCAAAGACAGCACAAGACCTCCCTTTCGTTGGCCAACAAGGGTGGAGACAAGAGAGGTGCTGTTTGTGGAGCATTGAACAACAAACGTAACTATTGCTGATGCAACTCCAGTGCAGCGCCCGACCGATTAGTTTCGCTTGTTCAAGTGACTATTTAAGATCTTTGTGGATCCCCCTCTCAAGCATGCAATGGCACATGAATCAGCTTAATCCAATCAGTTGTGGCTTTTGCTAAATCCACACTCACCTGCTAGTACTTCCCCCCCCCAAAAAAAAACAAACGAGAAACCTGTCAGCTCTGGGACATGCATCCAACTTCGGCCCCTGGATCCCCTCTCTGCCCCCGCCATGTTCGTCTTGAACCGGAAGGCCACGGCCAGCCCCGCCGGCGCTGCTGGCGCGTCGCCCGCTTCGCCCGCTTCGCCCGCGCCGCCGCTCAGCGCAGACCGGGCCACCAGAAGGAAGGCCCAAGCCGTCGACTCGCAGACCGCTTCGAAGGGGTCTCCGAATGGGTCTGAGTTTCGATTAGGGACCCGAACTGGTGGACATCAAAATTCGGTGGAGATCCATGTCTACCACTTCCAACTCTTAAAATTCATAGCCAAATGTACGCGTTACACGTGTCACCTTGAAGGAAACAAAAAAAAACAAAGGGACTATAAAACGAATGGAAGGGTGTCCTTGCACAACTACTCCTACCAAGATGTCCACACAACCAGAAATAGGCTTGTTGCAAAGTAGAGAAATCGCTCAAATGGACTTCGGTTGTCGCTTTGGTGTTCTTTTTTTTCTGAAACAGCCAAACAAAGGTTCCGAGCCTCGCAGGACAATAAGCACACCCTGAAGTGGGAGAGCTTCCAAAAAATGTGTTCCTTTGACGTCCCTCGAAAACAACCCCAGAGTGTTAGGTGGGAGGAAAGATCAGGAAGGCACGTGTTCTTTTACCTGTTGAAAAAAAATACTTTGGTGATTGCTTGCTTGTTTGGCTGCTTGGTTGCCTGTCACAACACATGTTGATTGGTTGCTTGGATAGCTAGTCTGGCCAGCAAGAAACCACCCTAGAGCAGCTTTCTACCACCCCTCAAATGAGTCTGATGAAAACTGTTTTTACTGAAACCACGCTTCGCAGAGACAAGGTGTGACTTGGAGGGAGTGGCAATGGATAAGTTGGCAAATAGTACTTTGCTCAGCCAATGCCTTCCGTCTGCTTCCTAACTTTTTGATCACGCTAACCTCCGATTCAAAATCCAAATCGTACCCCCAGTGAACATCCCAATCCAACCACTAAAATAGACTAAAATGGGTGGTGCACCTACCAACCAAAATGGTACCATTGGTTTTGACCCACAGCCACATCTCTTGGCACCAAACGCCATGTCTCCGAGCCTCCAGCAGCCGCAGGGCCGCCGGCAGATCTCCGGGTTTGGGGCACCAAATGGCTTTGCACCCATCTGCGAAGACCGGGCGCCCCAGGGACTGCCACGCGCCGCAATCCACGGATGGATCTGCCGGGCCCTGCAGTCAAAGATCCAAAGCCGAGGCCAAAGTTTGGCACAGTCGAGGTTTCATATCTTACCTTTGAAGGGGTTGGCCTCCTTCAAAATACATAGGAAAACAGACGCGCTGCTGGAGGACTCGGCACTGGAGGGCTGGCAGGGGCATCCCGGCATCCAAAGCTCCATCTTGGTACCCCATTTGATAGGATTCGCTTGCCCGTTTGGTACCCCCTCCAAATTTGAGGTGAAAGGCAAACCAAATAATCCTTCTCCTTCTTGTTTCCCCTCAAACCAATCTAAAAGCGTCTCTCAAAAAACAAACGCATTTCCATATGGGTGTGGCTCAAAATTAAACAGATACGCTTACGCAGGTTTTAATCTTTGGTTCCATTTACCAAGGTGCCATGTTGGTACGTTGATTTGAGCCACAGCATGGGCGTTTGCTCCAAATCGACTCTTCCAGGTTTCAGGTACCGGAACCCGCCTCCAGCACGCCGCGTAGCTTCCGCAGCGCCGAGGCCTGCAGCACCAGAGCGCCTCTCGGCGCGGAGAGCAGCGCCTGGAACCGCTGCGCGCGGCTCACTGCGCCCGCGGCTTTTTGGGCCTACCCGAAACCGACCGAAAAGCCCGAGGCCGAAAAAACATGCAGGGGGGGACTTGGATTTGGCTGGGGGGGAGAGGGTCGGGGAGAGGGGTTGGCTAATTGTTCACACGAAACGCGAGGTTTGTGTAAAAGCTACCATTTTGGTAAAGGCCAAGAATGCAGGATGTTGCCAAGGCGCTGGCAAGGAAGGCGCGGAGGGCGGGGAGCGGCGTTTGGTGTCCAAAAGTAGCTCACACTTGTCGCCGTGCTTGGAGCCCTTGGTCTTGGCGCAGGTGAAGCAGCAGTGTGTCGAGAGCCAGGTGCTGAGGTAAGGGCAGGAAGGAGTCTTGCAAGCAAATAACCTCCCAGAAGGCGGGCTGGAGACCAGTCGCATATGCCGCGGGCCAGCGAGCAATAGAGATTCCAACGCCTGAGTGTCTGCCTCGTCACTGAATCGCCATCCATCGTGGGAACCCTGAGCATGCAGCTCATATACAAACAGCTCCTGCTTCAGTTGTCCTTGTGTGCAGCAGCGAGTTTGCAGCAAACGGTGGTCGGGCGTGTCCATGGACTTGGTGTACACCTTCACAACAACAAGTTGGTAGCTCCAATGGCAGGCCTGGCGAAGCACGTCGAAAAGCTCCAGGATGCCCGTGTTGAGCGGGGCTCTGCGTTCCAGATTGAACAAAAGGAAGAGCACGGTATCCTGTGGCGACTGCTCCCCATTGAAAGGCCGCAAGAGTCCGCGGAGGGACTCCACGCACCTGGACAAAAACTCGTACTCCTGCGGTATCATCGGGTTGTGGTGGTTGAAGATGACATCTCGTCCCAGCATCTTTGAATATATAGCGTGTCCAGCCTGCCAGTGTTCACAGGTGTGCCTTGCATGCCAAGTATGAGCAAAAACCATCTTGGAATACCAACTGGGGCTCTGCGCTGAGCGGACAACTGGTAATTCTATGGTCACGTTTGCCATCTGAGCAACAAAAGGAGAAGCCTACCCAAGCATGCGTCAAAGTGGGGGGATTTCCTTTGAGGTAGCTTACAAAGTGCAACTTTCAGGAAAGCGAACGCACAACACTGACTCATTTTGGCACACATTCAGATCAAAAGCCAATGGCTGTAAAAGACACCTGGTATGTTGAGCCCAATGAGGGAGAAGACCAAAGCCCCCCACCCACAACGGAGGAATGCTACTTTGATGTTCCACCCACTGAGTTAGAAAGTAACAACCATGGTTCTCAGTGAGACAAGGCCTGCCAGCACCTCCTAACCGACCACCTTTATGATATACAACCTACTTACCTGCTGCGGGCTGAGTCCCACCACCGGGGGGGGTGGGGGGTGGGGAGGTGATCTGAACATCAGTCCGCCCCTGGCGCCTTCTTGCAGGCCGTGGCCAAGAAGTGCTTGGGCTCCAAAAAGCTCGCGAAGTCCTGGCCCGAAGCAGCAAACTCGATGGCTTTTGACCCAAAGGGCGGCACCCCAAGAATCCAATAAAAACTGACTTTCTCCCCCTTTTTTTTGGCCCAAAGGAGGTGAGGCAAACCCAAAAACAAACTGAAGAGCTCCATTCCATTTGGTGGAAAGTTGAACGCCCCCCCCAAACCCAAAAACCAAGTGGGTGTTTAAAACCACCCACCGGAAACCTCGTCCGTCCTCGGCCAGGCAGTGGGCCACCATCTCCGGGGAGCTGAAGACCCAGTCGAAGGGCCCCGGCCAGCGCCGCCAGCCCAGCGCCTCCATGGCCTGCGCTCGCCACGATTTTTGGCGCGGCTGGCTGGGCTCCGCCCCTGTTTTGAGGCTCCGGACATTGGAGTCGCTTTCGAGGCCGCCGAAAAACCGCCCCCCAAAAAAATGGAGGGGGGGGAGGAGAAGGGAGGGGGGGCTGCATGTTGAGCACACAAAGATGAAAACTTGAAATGGGGTTGGCATTCCTATTTGAAACAACTCCAATGGCATCCTAAGACTGGTTTGCTTGCATTTTGGTTTCGCCCAAGGGCCACAGTCCAACAATTTGACTTCAAGTGGGTGAAGCTCCAAGATGGTTGGGTCCCTTGTTCATTTTAAACAACCTAAAAGACAGTACCAACTGCCACGCCCGTTTGAAGGCGTCACAGGCCCTGCAGGGTCTGCAGTTCAGGCCTGCGGTTTGAAAAAGGAAATGGTAGCAGTAACGTGTCCCTCCTAACATGAATGTACGGGTCGCCCAAAATGAAGATCACACGGGCAAAGTTGCTCGTTTTGCCCAACATTTGGGCTTGTCCCTCTGTCCTCTCCAACCCATAGTTCACTACACAAAAACTGGTCAGATACACGCACGCAAACCGGCAACGCGCACAATCTACGCGAGGGCAGTCAGGTCAAGACAAAACAAGTTGCAATCAAGCCCCGACCTGAAATGCGTTTCTCGACACACAGCTTGGCAAACATGAATGCATAATATGCAGCGCCACAGGTTGCAAACAATGTGAAGATGCTGCTCAAACGGTCAAAAAGAACAATTGACAAACCCACGCAGATCGGGGATCATCGAAGAACCGATACCTCCACCCGCCTGCGCCGTCATGCACAATGTGCCCAGGGACACCACATGCCGCACCACCGCCGTCTCCGGCGCCGCCTCTGGCGCCGGCGAGTCGTCGCTGGTCGCGACGAATGCCGCGAGGGCGGCCACGAGTCGCGGCACCGTGGGATGTTGAAACATCAGCGAGGCGTTCAGGGTGAAGCCTTGCGCATCGGACGCACCAATCAAGCTAGCTCCCCAAGCCAGTAAGCCGGTAAGCTGTAGAGGTGTTGGTGTTGGCTCTGATGTATGTGAAGCGCAGTGACGTGGTTGCAACACAATTGGAAGCAAAAATCATGGCTGGAGAAGCAAGCCGCAAGTAGCAAGAGGTGACTGGCTCCACAAGGCCCACTGTCCGCATCCCACCTGCACGGAACGACAAGCGCCGCTCCAAGATCGCAGCGAACGGGGCTGCCATGGAGGAGTTGAGGCCCAACTGCCGCCACTCGCCTGGCCCAAACAGGGCTCCCCATATTTCCCCTTAAAACGCCACCCCTCACCTTTCATGGGCCAAAAAGGTGACCACCAAGAAGGGAAATATAGGAACCCCTGCCAAACCCAGTGAGGCAACCCCAGATCGGAGCCACTGGACATGTCTTGGACGAAAAATGGGAGAAACATGGCCCCTTTCGGTACTAGTATGGTAATCCAGGGGTTGTCCTGACATGTTAAGGACATGGGCCAAGTGGAAGAAGGCTGTTTCACTGGAACCTTGGCCCGCAGGACATTACCAAGACTTCTCACTAGGTGGATCAACCGGCACTGTTCGAGTCTGCCTAGGAACCAAACCAACATGAAGACCTGAACATGAAAATCACATTCAAAGCATGTGGGTGCGTCTTTGTTGAGGGAACCCCTTTGAAACAGAAAACCAAAAGGAAACACCACTACTTTGGAGGGTTCCCCATATTGAGCAAAACACCGAGGTCCGAGTTGGTGCTTTTGAGGCGCCGGTGTGCTCGCAGTCAAGCTCTCGGCCAGTGACCTCCGCGACAGCGTGCAGCACCATCTCTCGCAGAGATGCCTTCAGGCCAAGCCAAAGAGGGCCGTCCCTTTCTTTGCTGGTGCGAAAGGTAGGGAATGAGAATGGGAATGAACCGGAAGCGGATTCTCTGGGGGCTTCCCATATGCAATGGTAGGTAGGGGTGGGTCATTCCCTCATTCCCCACTGAGCACCGAGCAAGCTTTTTTGTCTGTCTTATGGAGGCTGTACATGTTGACCTTCATGGGCAGACATGGCTGCAGGCTGGCACGGACGAATACACCAAACATGTCTCGCTCCAAAAACTCTCTCCCCCCCTGCCTCCGACCAGTGTACCTGCCAGGCTCCAAACAGAACTCACTCCCAAACACGCTCTTTCGCTGTTGTGGTCAAAACGTGTCTTAAAAGTTCAAGATCCAGAGTCAACGCGTGCATGCTTGCTCAGCGTGATTAAACCAGCAACACGCTGCGAGCAGGCAGCTGCACGCTTGGAGGACAGAACGCGGCATGTGTTGTGTGATTTGTCTGGCACAAGGATCATTTAGCCATGCTCGACTGGAGCATGCAGAATTTCCTCGCGGTCTTATCACGAATAGTCCTCAAGCAAGCCAGGGGGCGTTTACAGAAGTGAGTCTCCCAAAGTTCGAAGCTCTCTGTCTCCTCACTTGATGCCCTTGGCCGACGCGAAGACAACCAAAGTTGCAGTCCCCCAGCGCTGTGGCCACTTTCGGGCTCCTGCCCCCCTCATGCCTGTCCGCCCGAAGCCGGTTGGTCTGCCGGCTGATCATCGCGCAAAGAGTGACTCTCCTGGATATTAAACAGAACCGCAAGCAGTATCACAAGCGAGCAACAACACCAAATGAATATATATATATATACATATATATGTGCCAAAGTGAGCAGCCCTCACTTGTGGGTACCCTATCCCCTTCGGCCTAAACTGGTGTCAGGAATTCAAGTGTGGGATTGTCTCGAAATAGGGGTAACCCCCTCAAAATGGGTGGTTTCCTTTTGGTGTCCCTTCACACCAATCCCCGAAAGGGTACCCTCAACAGAAAGACACGCCCAGCACCACTGCTTGGCAGCGAGCAAAATCGCGGCAACCCGTCGCTCTCCTCCGAGCTTTGCCACGGGTCTGGCAGCTGCTTTCGGTCCAGCTTGCCTAGACGCGAACAGCGCAGGCGACAAACAAAAAAGTTGAGCTCTGCCGCCAAGGAGGTTGTTCAAAGCCTAGTGCTGAACATGTAGGTGACTTTTTGGAAAAATCGATGGCCCTAGTAAATGGAATGAAACCAAGCTAAAGCAGTGCCATCACCTAAAAACGACACCTGTGCGCAAGCATCGTTTATCCACCAATGGGCCGCAAACCTGACGTCTTTCAGTTGAGCACACCCTCACTTCATTAAAAAAACACATGTTGAAAACTCAGGAAAGGCTGGAACATCTCGACCGAACAGATCCCCCAGATGTGTCTGAATTCGAATTGGGACCCTTTGAAGGGGACCCCTTGGTGCACATTGCTTAAATAGGGCCTTTGGGCCTGCCAACCACATGTGAGAGGGCTCCTCGTCTTGTTTCGTAGCCACCGGTTTTTTGCAGCCAGAAAAAAAAGCCGAGGCGCCGTTGGGGTTGACTGGCAAGCGCTGCAGTCGCACCACGTGCTGCGGCAGCATGTACTCCGGCAGGTGCTGGCCCAAGAGGCCTCTCACCTCCTGCAACGTAGAGGTCTCCAAGGTCTCCGACACAATGTAGGCCACCAGCACAGGGATGTCCTCGGAGACTTGCAACAAATGGCCATGGGGCATAACGGCATAGCCTATGGCTCCATTTTAGGGTGCATGAACATCCATTTGCCACCTATGTTGATGTTCACCGGGGGGACAGGGTTTTGACCCACAGCCAAATGGCCCCAGAAAGTCGGGGTATCCGAAGACTGAAACCCCAAGGGTGGAAGCGTTCAGCGCGCAAAACCCAGGTCCTTGAGGTTGCGCCTCACCTGGACCGCCGCCTGCATTCCCTCGGAGCCAAGCAAGGCCTCGATCTCCCCTAGCTCAATGCGGAAGCCGTTGAGCTTGACTTGCTCATCCAGCCGGCCGAGGCAAAAGAGCTCCCCTCCCTTCCGCACAACCCGGTCACCCGACCTGAAGCATCTGTGTCCGGACGACTCAAAGAAGCGGGCGGAGGTGAGCTCGGGCCTGTTCCAGTATCCCAATGCCACACCTGCCCCACCGATGATCAGCTCCCCCTCCACACCATCCTGAAGCGAGGTCGTTGCATTTCCCACCCAAAAAATACAACTTTTGGGCCAAACGATCCTTTCGACCACCGCAATCGTTTGAACCCCTGTCCTTGCCAGTCCCATCCCCGTCGATCCACAAGGAGGTGTTTCGGATGGGCTTGCCGATGGGCACCTGCCTCTCCTCTCTCACCCGATGGCTGCTGCACCAAATGGTGGCTTCCGTGGGGCCATAGACGTTGAAGACCTGAGGCTCAATCATCGCACCCCGACTCAAAGGCCTCAAGGAGACTTTCCAAATTGGGGGGGACCCCTAAAAAGCTTGGGGCGTTTCACTGTTTGCCCTTCAAACCAAGCATATTCCACCAAAGAAGGCCCCCGCGCCCCTTTGAATCCGTCCATTCTCCCCCCGCCGAGTCTGCTGCCTCCGCCGCACCGCAGCTTTTCGCCAGCCACGGCGGGAAGGGCTCCCCGCCGCAGAGCAGCAGCCCCGAAGGCGCCCAGCCGCCCGCGCGCAGCAGCGCGAAGGCGCTGGGCGTGGCCTGCAGCACGCCTCCCGGCTCGAGGCGCGCCTTCAGGCCGTCCTGGGCTGAAGGGTCTGAAGGTCTAAGTCACAAATGCGCTGATCAGAGGCTCTGGGCCATGAAGTTCTTATGGCTTGATGCCTGTGAGGACAATGCCCTGAACCTATTGGGCCTATGGCATCTAAGCTAACCTCTCGCTGGCCAATCCAAACCCAAACAAAAACCTTCAAACCCACCCTAAACCCACCCTCCTTGCCCCGCCTGTGCCGCTGAGGCATCCGCAATGTCCAGCGTGCAGCCAGCCCACAAAGGAAGCAACAGCTCCAGCAAGGAGATATCGAAGCAGAGCGTGGTGTGGGCCACCCAGCGCTTGTCACTTAGGTCGCCCAAAATTCCCCGGAAGGAGCATAGAGCGTTGTGCAGATTCCGCCTCGAGACTGAGACGCCTTTCGGGCGCCCGGTGCTTCCGCTGGTGTAGATGACGTACGCCCTCTCCGACCTGCGAGGGTCAAGTTCACTCATCACGCATTGTGAGATGAGTTATCTTGAGGCTGATTCCAGCCATGAATCCAAGGTGCCTCACCTTTTCCACAGGACTGCAAGAATCCCCGCAAGCACTCGACTAGTCCGCACCGCAGAACATGATGAACGTGAGCATCCCCACTTCTTTGAGATTTGTTAAGATTCAAGATCCCATCAAACCTCGTCACCATAACCGACTTCCCGCTTGCCTGACCATAGAAAAAGCCACCGGCGCTTCCAATTGCAAGAGCTCGCCCCAGTCGTCCACCAGCAGCACCTCCGAGGTCTGGCCAAATCCTTTTTTGGCAACAAGTCGGCATTCCTCCGCGAGGAATCGCATGCGCTTCGGGGGTCATACCGTCATACCTATTTCCCCGATTCTCCGAACGCCTCCAAGTGCTTGCCACTTTTCGGGCTGGGGGTTTTAAAACCCCGGCACTACGGCACTTTTCGGCACGGGCACCTCTCTGGACCCGAAGACCTGGCCGATGTTGGGCTGGGAGATCACCGCCGGCGCCCCGGAGTCCTCCAAGATGAACCTGAGAGAGGCCGAAGCTCCCCAAGCTACCCACGCCGCTCTCGGCCCCCACGCCATGGGTGGTGTCAATGCAATCCATCGATGGCGGAACCCGGAAGAAACGCTCCAGACCGATGCCCTCATCGCTCCAAAATAATGCGTATTTTAATAATAATCAAAACAATAATAAGAAAAGGTTTTAATACTTATAATAATATTAGTAATAATAATAATAATAATAATAATAATAATAATAAATAATAATAATAATAATAATAATAATAATAATTAATAATTAATAATAATAATAATAATAATAAAAATAATAATAAATAATAATAATAAATAATAATAATAATAATTTAGCTAGGCCCAGTAGACATGTGTTAGTAGGTGCTTAAAAAGCAGTACGGGGGCGGTGACGATCATTTGGACGGTGTGACGGACGGGTGAACGAAGGGAGGACGACGAAAGGACGACAAGAAGACGACGGGAGGACGACGAAAGGACGACGGAAGGACGACGGAAGGACGACGGAGAGACGACGGAGAGACGACGGAAGGACGACAAGAGGACGACGGGAGGACGACAGGACGACGATGGGAGGACAACAGGGGAAGGACGGTTTAAGCGGTGTCGTGAGCAACCAGTTCGCTATGCCGTGTAGGAATTTGTGAGATGATGACAGGAACAACCCGTCACCAGCGTGCGTTGCTATCACTGCTCTAATGTCTCAAAACTTCACTAAGTAATAGCCAGTACTATTTGTTTAATCATCATCAGAATCACTATGAAATGAACCGTCATATTAAACTTTAAAAACATTGATGTAAGTTGTAGAGCTTAGACTCAGGCTATACGATTCACGATTCACCCATATGGTTACTTCACGGGAACAGTAGAAATGCATTTTCGTACGGGTTCGCCTAGCCTGCCTAGCGTTCGCGAGAGGTTCACCTAACCTCCGTGGGTTTGCATAACGCCGGCTGCGTTCGAAAGCTTCGGCTGGGTTTTTGTTGCAAATTGTACATGTAGATGTTCCTTCGCAAACGTTTGCACACCTTGGTCAGGTTCGCAAACGTTCGCAATGCCGTTTTGGGCTTCGCCTAAGCCATTCTAGTGCGCACACAGTCTACCGACCACATCCGCTTTGCCCCGAATGATTAGCAATATGAGTCGTGGTCAAATGGTCCATATGTGATTCAAACTTCGTACGCATATGAAAATCAATCATAGTTCGTATAAGTTGTAGTCATAGGGATCGAGAAGTCATCTGTGCCGGCTATAGTTCTGAGTTAGGATATAAAACATCTATGATATTGAATCACGACATCATCATATGACTCATGACTCATGACTCGTGAGCAGTGACAACGCTATACATTGGCAAGACATCACGCGCATGAGTCGTATGACCTTTGTGATTTCTGCGGCACGTAAGACTTAACCAAAACGGCTAACTACTTACAACTTATAACTTCTAACTCTGGCTCACAACTTATGACAACCTTATTGCGCTTATACTTCAACGCGTGCCTCATCATGACCCTTATGGCCAGCTCCAACCTGTCTCATGACGCTTGCCGTGTGGAGTCACGACTCATGACTCGTGACACTATCCATGATGCATGACTCATGGACTCATCGTCTATGACTCCGACATATCTGATGACTCACGGCTCACTCAGCACTAATACTAACACCCATGATCACTGGTTCACAAGTACAACCGACTATTGACTCATGACTCATGAAGCAGGAATCATGACTGAAGACGCTCATAGTTGGTGACATCGTTTGACACATCTGACATAGAACCTATAGCTTACATCTTACCACGTACAACTTATCCCCCTGTGAACTCATATCTTATATCTCGTAGCTCGCAACTCCGGCTTGTACCTATGTGACAACTACTGCCTCTTAGGCATGCTTGCAAATAACAATGGGCCATTTGCGTGGACTGACATTGGTCATGTCACGCAACATGTGGAAGTGGAAGACATTGGAACGTTGTTGACTACGCTGCGCTAGTGTTGCGCTAGCATCCTCGGAGTTTGCGGTGACACGAAGTGTGTTGAAACCGACATGGTGCAACATGGGCATCTCGCATTTATCTCGGAGGGCGTGCCTCACACCATGTTGTTCAGCTTCCCTACAACGCGGGCGCAACACGCTTAAGGGCCCTTGGCTTACTGGCTGCGGCTTGATCGAAATCTGAGGACTTCACGCTCATATGCTGGGGGTGTTGCAAACTGTTCACGCGCTCAGCCACCGTGCTCAGCAAGTATTGAGTCTAGAATCTTGATTTTTGAACGCTGTCAGGCTTGACAACCATGAGATCGAGCCGCGAGCATTGTGTTTCTAGTTTGGTTTTGTCTTTCGTTCAGAAGCAACAAGACTGCGTCACGCATGACCAAATTCTTAACAACTCTTACCTCCTGACTAGACTCTTAGCCAATCGACTAGCCTGGCAATCTTTCAACCATAACACAACCTGTCAACCAATCAACCACTCACCCACCAAGCAACTTGGCAACCAACCGATCAAGCAACCAATGAACCGACCAACTGACCAAATGCCCAGTCTGGCAGTGAACCTCGCAGTCAATCCCACCATACCAGTGTCAGCCCGTCAGACTCATGCACGCAGTGTAATCCCGACCACGCATATGCGACGGGTCTGGACAGCAAGATCCGCTTGGCTGAGTGTCTTGGCTGCAAGACGGGCGCCCTTTTACTGTTGTTGTATTTTACCCGTTCGCCGGATTGCCGCTAACACTTGAGCGAGTCCAGCAAGTGGGGACTAGCGTGGACAAGTGTGATTAATTCCATTTTGTTTGCCGTTCGCTCAAGTTCTTTGATTTTGGTGTCGCCCCAAGGTACGTTCGCAAACCGATCAGGAATGCAGGCGTTGACTGTGCGACGCCAAGCAAGGCGTTTCGGCGTACAGTAGAGGCACTCCTACACCATGGGCATGCGCTTATAATTTACCAACCCGAATTCCTAAATCCAAGACACACATTGCAATAATAAGCGGCCTCGTGTTACAACTTGTAACTGGTGGTCTGAATCGTCGTACGATTTCTGTAAAACTTTGGCAACCATGCCGGCTATATTGGCCTTTTTGGGGGGGAGGTTGGACATGTTGAGTTGGCTTGGGGGGGCAGACATCCGTCGGTCCATCGGCAAGCCATTGCGGCCGGCTATAGTTCTGTATGTGTACTGCTCCGCGTTGTGCGCAGGCACACCGCGCAGAAGTTCGAGGATGATGACGCTGTTCGAGCGCTGAGGCAACTGGAGGAGGAGTCGGCAGCAAGAAGGGGGGAGTTCCGGAAATGGCTGCCTCAAGCCATGCTTTGAGATGATGTCTGGTTGGAGCAATGCGCGATGCGTAGCTGCGGCATCCACACTGCTTTGCGCTGTTAAAACTGACGATGCAACTCTGCACTGGTGGTTCTGGCAAAGACACGTTTTGTGAAGAAAGTCATATGGGTCATCATTCTATCATTTAGGCCATTGGGCCAAAGGCTATACTCTACTTGGTTTTCACATATTCACTCAGGTAGTGAGCACATACTCTTTAGCAGACTTACAGAGGCCATGTGGACTATGCAACACAGACTCATGACTAAAACGACAAAAGGTGGGCATTGTCCTGGTTCTTGCTTCACGCCGTCTCAGTTCGCCATATCGGACAGGCGCCTTAGCGCGTTGCGTGGGCCCGTCAGGGCCACAGCCTAGGGATGCGATTGTACAGGTGCCGGACAGTTTGCCCAGAAGTTGGTGCAGGTAAGGCTTCTTATCTGCTTAGCCTGTCAGGCAGCCTGGCGACGCAATAACAGTGACAGTGATGGTCATAGCAGTGGTAGTCCAGTGATAGTCGCGAGTCACGAGTCATGCTTCTGATACTTGATGCGAGTGTGTTTGCGTCAGGTTTTGATATGCAAACTGCAAATTATAAACTATAGATTCAACATTGCAAAACAGTTGTAAAGTACTAACCTCTAAATTAAAGAAGCCTTTGCTTGCCCTGCCCACTCGTTTGGAAGTGGTGTGTGACACATAGATCAGGCCGGGGCTAAGCGCCATCTTTACTGTAGTCGGCGCGTGTCTAGTTTATCCACGCTGCGCCCTTTTGCGGCCACGACGCTTCTCAGGTGTGCCGCCACACAGGTATAATATTCAGTTCAAAGAACGCTTCGGGTCGCTGGGCAATCGACAATCAGACAGCCATCTGCTTCTCTTTGTGCGCGCGCGTGCGTGGCGCACGTTGTTCTTGGGGCTTGTTGCCCTTCGCTGCGCCGCCCAGCCTGCGGCTTGTCTTTGGGTGTGTGTGTGTGTGTGTGTTGCGCCTTGTTCTTGGGGCTGCCTTTAGCTGCGCTGCCCCGCTCTTGGTCTTGGGTGTGTTTGTGCGCGCTGTGTTTTTAGGGTCCGGCCTTTTCGCCATTCGCCGCGCCGCCTTGCTCTTTGTCTTTGGTTTGTGCGCGTTTGTAGCTTGAAGAAGAGAAGGGGGGGCGGGCGGTCATAATGAAACGATGGTTGCGTAGCAGACCGGCAATAGCAGTGTCAGTGAGTGGTCTGCATCGCAGTGAAAAAGAGAGACTTTGTCATCGGCTAGGTTTGGAGAGTGGAGGAGGATGGGCATGCATAATTGGACTGTGGCGTTATTGTGTCTACACAAAACAGACCTGAAGGGCGCGCGAGCGCTGGGTGTACTGTGGGCCGGGCTGGGGCGTCCTTCTGTCGTCCACTTGTCGTCTCTCTGTCGTCGTCCCGTCGTCTGTCCGTCGTCCCGCCGTCCGTCCCCCGTCCTAAGGTCGGGTTTGGGCCCAAACCAGACCTTAGGACCGTCCTAAGGTCTGGTTTGACGGTCCTAAGGTCTGGTTTGGGCCCAAACCCGACCTTAGGACGGGTGTACGACGGGCGGACGACGGCGCGACGGGTGTGCGACGGTTGGACGACGACATTTGTGCGACGGCGGGGGGCTGGGGGGGTGGGGTGGGGAGGCATCCCACCATCTGTTGTATGAGTTGCAAGCACTAGACACTCAACATATGCTATATCTTGGGTGTTTGGCTTGAGTCATGAGATTTGTGGTCGGCCTAGTAGAGGGAGCTGACCCTGACGGCTTCCCACTGCGTGAAAGTGCAGGAGGCACTCAGCGGACACAAGACAGGCGTGGGTCAAGATGCACATCATCTTGGCGGAGCGGCGTCGCCAAGGCCAAAAGCCGATGTTTCTCGTTGTGTGTTTCTTTTCCATGTCGGTCCGTATTTATCATATCGGGCCATCACAAGTTCGTACAAGTTTGCACAAAGCTCATAAGTCCAAAAGGCTCATGGCCTAAAGTCCCATGACCCGTAACCCGTAAGATTACTTTTTGTATTTTTTGTTGTTCTTGCATGTCCAGGTCATTGGGCCACTGCCTCCCAACCTAGAGGCCCTGCAAACCAAGCTACTGGCGTGCGTGGCGAACCGCCACAAGGATTGGAATGACCTGCGTGTCAACGTTCTTGGTTTCACGATCATTCCGCGCCACACGGTGTCCTTTTGCTGCAGGCTAAGCCGGACTACCTGACTGTGAAGACCTCAAGCTTACCACTCCAAAGCCAATTGCCTACAGCCTACGGCTTGACTATGCCTCTTGCCAATAGCAAATTGGCCTGCAGCCCATGGCCTGTAAGTGCCGCCAAGGACATTACGACTGAAGATGTCTACAACTATCACATGACTCGCGACTACGACTATGTTGCGCTCTACGATCTTGACTCTCGATTTAGACTAGGCTAGCCTGTGGGAAAGCTGCAGCGCAAGCTGTAGAGCGTCAAATCGCGCAAACACAGTCACACTGTCACACATGCAAGTGCAAACACAGGAGCGGTTGCCACCAGACTATAGGATCACAACTTGGACTTTAACTTCAACGTAAGGCTGTGGGCTTTACACTTTAAATCTTGAAACTGAAAACTTGAAGCATGTACGCTTTAAGCTTAACATAAATTAAACTAAACATAACTTAAGTGGCTAAGCCTATGATATGACTCTGACTATGACTCACTGGATGCTATGCCTATATAACAATGGCTGTGAGCTATGAGCAAATTCTGGGAAAAAGAGACGGGGGGATAGCGCCAGGGACCTGGAAAAAAAGACTGGGGGCTAAGTAAGGGCGCCCTTTTGAACCCGCTTGCGATTTGCATTTTCTTCCACGAGCAAGGGCCGGTGTCGATTCAAGGCAATTTTTTGTGGACGATAGTTTCTGCTGCTCAACCAGGGAGAAGCGATGCGTACGTCGGACATGCCACGTTGGTCTGACTATCATCATCATCATGGATTCTCTCAGCCGGGGCGCGATTCTGTGGCCGATCTGCCCCAAGCCAGAAAGGCGTCGCCGTGGCGCCAAGCACTTCCAGCCCGGGCATCCCTGCTAGACAGATGTCAATGTGACTGTGATGCGCGCACATGGCCCTTCGCCTATGCGCATAGATGATGCATGCCCATTCAAGGCGCTCGCGCTGGCTAATGTGCGTCACAGCCGCGTTTACATTAGTGGAGGCGCTGTCATTTGTCAGTCATGCGCAGCTTGCAGAGCCTCCGCTTGGTTTTCCGCTGCGCGGTAGCATTGTGCGACGCAGTGACGCGCGCGTGACATACATCTCACATTTCAACATTTGTTTTGAAGCTGCTCTTGCGCTTACAAAGCACTAATAGAGAGAGCGTCAGTTTTGTGAGCCGACTTGACTCGCACGCAGTTGCGATGCTCCTGTGTGGCCCACGGGCATTGCTTCAGGGAGGGAACTTCTTCGGCTCCAGCTTGTCTGGCAGCAGTTTCACGGCGTCGCTTTTCGACACGTTCACAGAGGCGCAGTTGACTGACTTAACTGGCAACACGTGGCAGACTTGAATCCATCTCCCCGGAACCACTCGTTTAAAAGTTTCTTTGCTGGATTGGGATTGGCTCGGCGTTCGTTGGCTTTGGCGTTGGCCTGACATTTATTTGGCAACGTTGGGTTCAATCTCGGTTTGTGTGTGTGCAGTGTGAGTGCGAGGTGACGCGTGAATTGGTTGGGGGCGAGTTTGTGTCCACCAACCAAACAACCCTTTCAAAAATCAAGGATCTGAAGCTCAAGACTCAAGACTCAGACTAAAGTTTCCACTGATGATTGGTGATTCATGCCTTTGGTTTCAAGCTTTCAAACCACAGCTGGTCAATGCTGCTTGTTTTCCATAGGCCCACTGTCCACAGTACAGGGTTGGCGGGGTTGGCCTTTGACCCCCGACTCGTAGTTCGTAACTTCGTGCTCCGTGTGATTCATGATTCATTATTCACATGTCAGCCAATGTGTTCATAATGACTAGGTGCGGACAGGTGTGGTTAGGTGTCGTATTTGCACACAAACAGGTTTAGCTTTGATCAAATTATATTTCTGAGTATGCGTTCAGGGCTTCAGGAAATCCAGGATAACAGGATGCTACCTGATACGAACATATAGTATGAGTTTGGTATCACTCGATATGACACGATTCGGTCGTAGTATTGCTTCTAAAGGCGTATAGACTCAAACATGTAACTACCATTGATGCAACCCTTGTGCAATATCATGATTTATGTATCATATGATATGTAAGTTATGATTATGAATCACAGTATGATGGTTCACACGAGAGTCATACGAAGGTCGCTACCCCTCAGATGGTATGGCCCGGCGTGGTCCGCTGGTTCCTGTGGTTAACCAACGGTTTGACGCACTCAAAACACAACTGCAAGATATGATCCCACGAAAGCATGGTACAATTCATACGACGCGCGACTAGTGTGTTTCAGACATGACGTTGTCCGTGTATCACGCTATGTCTATGACTCATCTATGACTATTGGCCCAGGACTCCTAAAATCTGCTTGTGAAGAAACACTAGCACCTTGTTGATTGAAGCGAAGACACGTTTTATGCTGTTTGTTGGTGCTGTCAGTGTGTTGCGCGCCAAGGTGCTCCGGCGTTTCGCAGGTAGAGGAGGGCGCAGACATTACCGGTCGCGCGTAGAACCCGCGCTGTCTGCTGTTGCTTGCCGGTGATGGCGCGATGGTCTCTGTGTCCTTCCCCGACAATTCGCATATAGCAGAAGTTGACTTTTCACATGTGTTCGGCATGGCCCAAGCTTGCAAGACATTTCAATAGCAAGACGCATGTCGATTCAGAAAGAACCGCTGTGTTTCGTATTTATTGTTTGCTGAACTGTCAGCATGTAGATTCAGAAGACATTGATAGTATAGGCCGTTGACAACACTCTTGCAGCCCTGCGGACATGGTGAATCCGTGCTGTGACGCTGTGTGCTTTTGCTCGCCGGTCCTTGCCAGTGACACTCCTGGTCGTGATTCCTGCAATGGCCTGGCCCTAGCTAACCTTGCAACATGATTACAATACTCAACACTCAGTCGAAGAAGGCAAACCCTGCGGGCATGGACAGGTGTGCCTTTGAAGTTCGCGGTGTGTGCCTTTGCTTGCGGTGTGGGCCTTGGCCCGCCCTATAGTGATGCAAATAGAGAAGTTTGTGCTTGTTGTGGTCCTTTTTGCAACTCAAATAACGCAGGCCAGTTGGAGAAACAACAGCTAAGAAGGCGAAGCCGTTGACAACACCCCTTTAAACCTTCTGTTCAGCGCAGAATCCTCGCTGTATGATGTTGCTTTCTCAGCAATCAACATGCGATGACGTATCCGTGCGGAGAGCTGTGGTTCGAAACAAAGGGCGGCGGGTTGACATACTCGCAGAGACTCATAAGACTCATAAGACTCATGACTCATGCATGAGTGCGTGACGCACGCAACAAGCCGCAGGACAGCGTGTGACGATTGACTCCGTTTGACTACGACGACGGCTCTGACTTAGCACTACCCAGTCACACACAGCTCATGTCACTTCTCACTTATGTCATTTGACGCGTCAGGTCCTTGTAGCAGTTCGACGTTTGCAGATAGTCGCAGCCTAGAGTCGCGGTGATTTAGCCAGTCCGTATTGTGCGCAATTGACATCCCAGCAAATGTGTTGTCCGTTCGTTGTCCCGTCATCCTCTCGTCGTCTTCCTGGTCTTCTTTTCGTCATCCTCCCGTCGTCCTCTTGTCGTCCACCCGTCGTCCTCTTGTCGTCCTCCCGTCGTCCACCTGTCGTCCACCCGTCGTCCTCTTGTCGTCCTCCCACCGTCCACCTGTCGTCCACCCGTCGTCCTCTTGTCGTCCTCCCGTCGTCCACCTGTCGTCCACCCGTCGTCCACCCGTCGCCCACCCGTCGTCCGCCCGTCGTCCACCCGTCGTTTTCTTGACATACTAGCCCCGTACCACACGTAGCTGTATGACTAGAAACCACTCATTACATGTCTGCTGGACCTAGCTAAATAATAATAATAATAATAATAATAATAATAAAATAATAACAACTCAGCCAGGCACTGCAGGCGTTTCACCGGATGCCCCGGATCCAGCGGCAAGAAGGCGCAGCCGGCACGCAAGATTCCCAGCAGGCCCACCACCAGAGCAAAGTTTCGGTCCACGCAAAGCCCCACCAAAGCGGAGTCGGAGAACCGTGAGCACCCCAGGAGCCCGGACAAACGCGCCACCTTCTTGCTCACCTCCGCCATGGTCATCATGGATTCCTGGTGCAACTTGGTGTTTCAGGGCCCCTTTTGGTGGCCAGTCACATTGGATCCATGTTCTCCAACTACGATCTCGCGTGCTTCTCATTTCATAATACCCAGCTCGTTTCACCCGCTCCTGGTGCTGCAAGGTCGCCTTCGAAGTCTCCATCTCCACAAGGATCCCATGGAGCTCGTCCATTTCGCGGCGCGAGTCACCGGAGGGCCATGGCGATCCATCACGGCCTTGTGACCCCCGCAAGGGCGGCCATGGGCCGCGATTTCCGCAAGGCCCGAAAGAACTGAACGCCGGCTTGGCGAACGGCTGCACCCAAACAATGAATCAATGTGTATTGCATTGAAAAGCAGATTCAAGGGTGTTTCGTGCTTTGCACAACCAAATCGTGAATGTGTAGGCATCAGCAACGCTGTATAAAATAATCATGCAAACCACCGCCACTCTTTGAATTGTCTCGAATCTCGCATGGTTTGCTTGTTTGTGGAACCTGCCGGGAAACCAAATGCCCTTCGTTTTTGCTCTCCAAAAGGACCTGTTTCCAAGGGGGCCAATTCGGCCCGAAACATGCGCAACTATGTTTCTCCTCCCAAACTGATCCTGTCCTTGGGTGGCAAAAACACAATGCGGTTTCTCAAACGAACATCCAACTCGCGGACCTGATCAAAAGATTGCGAGGAATACTGAACTCGCGGACAACACCCCGAGCTCGGCACCCGCAGCCTTCGGCCTGTGAGGGGCCAAGGCTTGGTCCCTCAAACGGAGGGCTTTTGCGGGGAGAAATCCAAGACAAAAAAGGGATTGTTTTGCATATGTTTCCCCCGTTCTTGGTCAGAGCACCTATAGGCCTGGTTGCCGAAATGATCAAAGCCCTACAATGGCAGACTTTCACCTGTCTGAATCGTTGGCAGTCGCTCACACTGTCAGAATGTGGGATTTGGGCCAGTGGTTACCAAATGGCCCTTCTGCATCAGACAGACTTTAGTCACGTGCCCAAAAGCATCCCTGATCATGCTTTGGTTCTGGCTTGGACTTTGATTAAGGACGCGAAATGAGACGACTGTTCAGGACTTTCGATTGAGCGCGAACGAACAAAACGTGGCGGGGGATTGGACGGCACAGCGAATGGACCTGGTGTAAACTTCAGACTGGAGTCTATCGCTGAAAAGTCAAGTCAAGTCTGCGGCACCCGCACACTGCAACCCTCGGACCTTCCAGCACGCTCAGAGACTCATGCTTGTCAGGTAAAGGAAAGAAACATGTTCCACGCTGCTGTCCCCTTAGACAGCAACCGTCCATGGAACGTGGAAGCTCAGACACGTGGGCAAGCTGCCATCCGCCCATCCCGCCTTTCCCGCACGAAAGCTTCGCTCCTTGGCTTTGGCACATCCTTGGGGACCTCAGACGGGCGCAAACCACCTGAGGGTCCATGTGACAACCCAAGCAATATGTGTTGAGTGGCTTTCCACCACAACCTCCCGAGTTCGCAGAAACACCCAGCGGCAAATCCGGAAAGGGCGCACATGGGTGCGGCTCAGAATTCAACAGCTCGGGCAAACCGCAGGTTTTAGTCCTTGGTTCCACTCACCAAGGTGCCCCCTTGGCTACGTTTATGAGCCACAGCCACATCGCCACGCCACAACCGGTCCCCGGGTCCCCGGGTCCCAGGCCCAGCCAGGCGGCGGCTGCTTTGGCTCGTGAGGCGTGGGCCCTTTGGGCGCGGAGGGGCCTGGGACTCGAGGCTTAAAAAAAAAACGGTTCGGAACTTCTTGTGGATTGCACCGATTTTTCTTCCTTGTAGGTTCCTTTTCTAGGACTCCTTTTTGTACACATTTATTCAACATCCAGGGGTGGAAGCACACAAAAATCGCATCCAAACCGTTTCCCAGGCAAACAGGAACCCTACGAATGTGGTGTTTTAATGTTCCGCGTGTTCTTAAAAGTTTGCCCTCGAAAAAGGCACACTCATGTTGTCAGTGGTTTCCATTTTTGGACCCTGCAACAAAAGTAGAGTGGCTGGGCAACAAAATGAACTGGACAGCCGAAACTTGCTTCTTCCCCATTCCCAAGAGCACGCGCGCTGTTTGCCACTCATCTGGGGCGATAGTGACGGCCAAGCCTCGGCGGGCACAACCCCTGACAGGCACGGAAGCTTGGGGAAGGAACTCAAGCTTGGGAAAAGAACTGCATAAACTGACTTCGTCAGGAGTATGTCTCTGCCCCAAAGGGGCTGCAAAGCCGCCAACAAAGAGCACGGATGGATTAGATCAGTACGGATCACATGTCGCAGTGCCGGCTGCAAGAATGTTGGAAGGGTAACCCAGCACGGCCCGACGGCGCGGGAGCCGAAGCTTGCGCCTGGCGGCTTTCAAGGAGCGCGTCGCCACTCAGCCCCTCTCACCGACAGCAAACTTGGCCCACAGCCCACCAGCTTGCCTGAAAAAAGGAAGACTCCCAGTGTCTATTGAGGGTACCCGTTTTGGATGGTCAAAAAACGGAAACCAAAAGGAAACCACCCCCTATGGCACCCCTTTGAGCGCGTTGGGTCCTTCCCAATTCGGCCCCCAAGCCAAAGCTCTTTCCCCTCGCTGGCCAGGATGCAGGCCACCTGACCCGCGCTTGGCGAGCTCCACGCGGATTTGGTTGGTCCCGAACGGATGCAACAACAAACAAAACGTCTTTTCGCCAAACGCCCAACAACATGCACCTCGTGCAGGCCGCAGGGGTCAATTTCTATTGCCAAGTCTTTCTCCCTCTTTGCCGGTACCTAAGGTCAGAGCAAAACATACTTTCAACTCATCACACGTGTCTCATTTTAATGGATCGTACGTCTTCGCTGCAGCACATCTGCATGGAACATTGTTGCGTGTATCGCTGCTCTCTGTGATCAAGCTTTATCCAGTCGGTTTCAAGTGGTTGCCACCTGCTGCACAAGATCAAGTTGTTGCCATCGTCGCAAGAGCCTCTGTTTCTTGAGGGTGCCCTACCCTTCTTTGGGTTGGCTCAATTAATTGATTCAGGAAGCCAAACAGATGGCACCCATTTCAGGGTCAACCAAAACCGGACAAATCCCTCGAGCCATGGCCGCCCTGACCCCCCGCCCCCGGCCCGATGATCTCGTCTTGCCTGGGTGGCGGCGGCTTGCCTGGCTCTGACCTCCTGCTGCTTCATGGGCAGCAGCCTCCGATACTCGGCCAGGACCTGTCGTCTGTCGCCGGGATTTGGTCGGAGGGGAAACAAGGGAAAACCATCCAACTTGAGGGTTCCCCCATTTAGAGGCAAACCCTAAAGAAAAGGATGAAAGCCCTGTCCTCACTTCCCTTCAAACCAAAAAGGGTACTCACTCCAGACAGCTCGTGGAAGCCGCGTTGACGCGCCATATCCTCATCGACAGCTCCGGGCTATTGGTGGCGGCAAATCAGTGGGTTGCCGATGGTAGCGGTAAGACGTGGCCATCTCCATTCGTTTAGGAACTTCTGGTGGGTCAACTCTCCGTGTTCCCCGACAAAACACCAAGCCTGGAAATCTCTGCCATTACTCCCAAGAACATGCTGAAGCATCAACCATCGGACACGTGCATGGCTTGCACAAATGGTCCATACCCTGATCGCCAGGCCGCCCGCCTTGCCCTCCATGTCCCTTGGCTCCTAGGCCAACCCCCGACTCGTGACTCCCGACTCACTCGTGACTCGTGATCTGGGCCGAGGGCAAAGTGGGCGATGCAAGCCAGCCAGTAGACCTCATCGCCCCACTCGACTCGTCGACTCGTGAGTGTTTCCGTTGCAGGGATCCCGTTTGAGCAGTGCCCAAAACCCGTTGACTTTGGGTTCTACTAACATGGTTGTAAGGGCTTGTGTTCCGGCTTCACATAAGCCCAACTACACCAGGAAATAGAGCCACCAAAATGGCCAGCAGGAATCTTGGCCGCTGCTCATTTGTCTGGTGCCAAAAAAGAAGCTAGAAAAGTGAATCGCCCATGTAGGTCAATGGCAAAACCCATGCCCGACACGCAATTTGCACTGACCCATGCCGGCCTGTGGATTTGGCCCGTTCGGGCGGTAACTGTGGACCTTTGACTCCTTCAATGGACAAAAAGTTACCAGGCTCTGCAATGGCCCCCTATGATGGTTATGAGATAGCCAACCCCTGTTGCCCACCCAGACACCGCCCCCTCCAACCCCCCCCTTTGCACAAGCTAGGGGTTCGCAACCTTCCTGTTTTGCCGAGGCACGGCAGTGAGACCGTGCTCCGCCTCCTGGGAAGCAGGAAAAAACATCACACAGGCCCTAAATCCCAGGCGCTAAATCCCAGCTCGGAGTTAGGTTCGGAACCTAAGCAATTCTGATCGAAGGCTACCTGTGGGTGAGGTTTGGCCGAAAGTCTGCCCAGCGAGCCTGAAGCGCGCCATGTGCTTTGATTGCGGGCGCCCTGTTTGATGCTCAGGCAGATGCCAGGGGGCGAGAAAGTCCAGATGCAAGCAAATAAATTAAATTGAGGTATTGCAGGCCAAGCACTCCAGCAAGCGACGCACGCCTACTTGTTGGAACCGAAGGAATTGCAAGCCATGACAAGGCTCGTCATAGCTCATTGAAGTTTCGAGTTGATCAGCTCTTCCGGCCTGGATGATTGCCTTCTCCAATCTCTCCTGCATACCGCTCACTGACAGCATATGAGCACAAACAGTGCTGGAGATCAACAAGCAGTCGCCCAGTCCTGCAAAGCTTGCACTCTTGCAGCTACATCCTCCGACTCCAATGCTTCCTCGATTCACAGATGAGCAACCCTCACATTACGCCCGCGTCAAAACAATGCGCCTCCACAGTGGACGGCTGTCCACTCAGGGTGCTGCTCTTGAATCGCGGCCTGGGTCGTTGAGTCTGCCTGACCCCGACGCAAAGTCCAGGGGCCTCGTGAAGACGAGGCCGTTGGGTGGAAAGCGTTGCCTGGAGTCGTAGGAAATCTGACATCTCAATGCAGGCCTGGCACAAGTCATCCCTTCGAACTAAAGTTGGGAACCCAAACCGCTCATCAAACATCTTCTTTCCAGGATGTCGCAGGTCAGCTGACAAGGAGCAACCCTCAATGGCAAAACTCAGGATTCGTAGGCCACGACTTCTGAGACCACTGCGTTTTCACTTCTAGATACCTGGCAAGGCCGTAGCGGTGAGCAAAGCTAGCAGAAACACCGATACAGGACTATCATTAGATGGACTCGTTTAACAGCGTGCGCTTTGCCGCCACGGCTTTCTGTTTGGAAAGCTCCGGACTGCGCTCTTTTCGAAGCAGGCTGAATTGCCGGGCTTGGCTTGAGCAGTTCCGGTGGTTCCCGGGGATTTGAACACCCCCACCTTCGGATGGTCGCGCTACGGCCTCTAGACTCTTCAAACAGTCCTCCGAACATGCGAAAGAAACGCCAGAGACGCCAAAGAAACGCTTGGAAGAACATGCCTGGGAAAAGCGAAAGTGCCTCACTTCTTGGGCCGGCAGCGGAGCTTCAGCACAAGGATGAGGATGCCGAGCACAATTGAGACGGGGCCAAAGGCTGCAGCAAGAGCGAGACGGTGCGATGCACCTTGAGGATTGTTGACTCCAAGCCAGTCCGCGGCCTGAGGACCGAACACCGCATAGATGCAGCGGCCGGGCAAGAAGGCGGCTTGGTAGAAGCTGGGCAAGTATGCTCGGAAGTGCGGTCCTACCAGTTCATCCAAAACCCAGCTGCTGTGCGCGCTGGCCAGCACATCATTAACGACAATATTGCCGGACAAAGTGTACGGGTTGTAGAGGCCCAGTCGGGGAACCATGACTTTGGCCATCACTTGAGTCAATCGGCTGGATGTTCCGTTCACCGTCCATACGAAGTTGCCCGCTTTCACATCTGAGGCATACATCGACCTGGCACTGGCCCAGGTGCATGGTAGGCTGAGGCAGACATGGAGGAAGTGGTCCGGCGACAGCTCAATCTCCGCGGCGTGCATGGGGCTCTGGAGCTGTAGCTTCACCTCGGCATTTCCATGGGGAGAAGAGGGCGCCTTTGGGTTGCTGGTTGATTTCACGGTCAAACCCTTCTCCACTTTTAAATGAAAAAATATCACCAGGCTGGGTCACATACGGCGCCCATTGCTCTTCCGCATGCCCGAAGAAGTACACCTCGTCGAAGATCAGGTTGCCCTTGGTGTCGGCCGCAAGAACACGGTCACCTGCACGCAAGTCTCGCATGGTCTTGAGGCCCTCAGGCGTCCTCACCAGCGCGTGCGAAGGGAAGCAACCACCACCGCTACTCGGGCACTTGTCCTTCAAGTTACGTTGCCATTCGTCTTTCTGCCAAAGTTCCCAGGCATTGCACCATCCGCCGCTGATACTCGCTGAAAAGCCACCGCCTGTCTCAAGCGACTTCCCAATTTCCTTGCCGTCGGTGTCAAAAAGGAACTCTCCTCCAATGCAAACGAAGAAGCAAACTGATGCGCCGGCAAAGGAACACTCCCCTTTGGTGTTGCTGAAGCTGTAGAAGTAACCGTGAGCAACAGTCACATCAATTCCAGCCCCAACCTGAAAACCGCCGCAGACCTCCTGCAGCTGTCCCCACTTGTACGAACAGTCATTTCCACTCCACCCATCGTAGCCCTCGACGCCGATGGCGCTTGTGCCAATGGCGATGCCCATGGCTGCCGTCACCCCAACCTCATAGGTCCGGGCATTGCCGTCGCAGCAGGTGGACTGCCGGTGGTTCAGGCGGCGCCGGCTGCGGCGGCGCCGGCTTCCCTTGCCGGCGACGCTGCGGTCCAGGTGCATGGACAAAGCGCTGAATGCCTTCTTCCTAGGTGCAGGAAGGTCAACGGTGGAGTTGGACCATTGGGAGCGCTTGTGAGAAAAGTGTGCAGCTCGGTGAAACAAGGCTGCCGACAGCGCCCGCGTAGTGCTCACATATGTTGGCGCTGGGGGCTCTGTCAGGACTGGCAAGGGCTTGCCCAACATGGGACAAACTTCTGCCAGAAATCCCGTGAGGTTGTGGAAGTCCGCAAGGGGCATCCGGACAAGGCGTTCCAAGGTCAGTTCACACTCAGCAGCTCCCACCCCGAAGAGCGCGTCTTGTCCTGTCTCTTCGTTGTGCAGCTTCGTCTCCTCCAAGCAGGCAGTCATGAAGGCTTGGTCGAAGTGGCTCTCGTGCATGATGCCCGGCCAGACGTGCTTGGTGCCCAAGAACTCGAAGTGGGCGTGCGAGATGTCCTCCACGTAGCGCATGCACTCAGGCTCTTCGTCGATGGGCAAGACCAGGTCGATGAGCACCGCGCAGAAGCCTTGCGGGCTACTCAGGGATTCGCCTCCAAGCAATCGGAACTGCACGTCCATGTTGTAGACCACGCGGTCGCACTCTGCCGCCAATTTGCTTGGGTCCACCGACCCTAGCGAAGACTCATTGCCCTCGAAGAGCCCTAGCTTGCAGACCCTGCCAAACGTCTCGATCTGGGTGATGATGGGCATGCTTAGATTGGCGTGGTGCCCAACGAACTTCAAGCAACCCTTGTAGAACATGGAGTTATAGCCATAGGACTTCTCCAAATCACTGGCCATGCCGTCCACAATGCGTGGAGCCTCATCTGCGCAAGAAAAGCTTCTTCGGCTGCTGTTGACTTCGGAGTCCACATGTAGCTTCATTGCATGAGCAGTCGCCCAAACGAGCAAACACTTCATGGAGGTCATACTCATCATTGAGGCGCGCGGCCCAACAATTGCTGGAGCCAAGAGCTAGTCGTTCCAGCCAAGAGTGCTCACGACAAGTTTCAGCTGCAATTGCAAGGGACTCAACTTTAAGCATGCTCTAAACGGCCTATGAGCAGCAACACCAGCCGCAAAACTGCTGCAGGCCAAGACAGCAGGCCTTTGCATCGCTGCCTCGATGAATTCCATCGAAAGTGCCCCTTGTGCCACCTGGCAGCTGAAACTGACGACGTAAGGACCTTTCTGCTGTCCGGCGTGATCCCTCCCCCCCTGACCAAGCCGTTGTGAGGCTCTTCAGCGGGGTGGTTCCAGAGGAGAGGGGTCCAGGGACACTGCTTTAGGGGTCCGCAATGGTCCTATTGGAAAGCTTCAAGAGCACAAACCCCAGATAGCATAGGAGATTGCTGACCAGCACCCTGACCAGCACCCTGACCAGCACCCTGGCTCGTCGCCAAACAAGTGCCGACAGCAACCAAGCAGCACCCCTGACTGCATCGCAAAACAAGCACTGCAAGCAACCACCACAGCATCCTTCCCCTCTTTAGAAGTAACGCCTTATAGTTTTCTGCTTTCTGGGGAATAAGAAACCCCACAGCTCTAAATTAGCATCGCTAGTCACCACCACAACGACTTAAGCACACAAACAGAACGCCTGGCCAGCACCCTGACCAGCACCCTGACTGCAGCGCCAAACAAGCACTGCCAGTCAACACCACAGCACATTAAGCACACAAACAGCACCCTGACCAGCACCCCGACCAGCACACCTGGCCCGAACAAACTCCGCCAATTTAGAAGTAAGAACTTCTATAATAGCTAGAGCTCTCTGGGATTTACTTGCATGCAGAATGATTTGAACAAAGCCGTGAAAGAGGCTGCTTATGATTTCAAGCTCGCCAGAATCCACCAAAGCCGCGGTTGCGACCATCTTCCGGATCTGGTGGGTGAGGAAGCTATTAGCACCTTGGCAAACACATCCGCAAGTGCTGGAAAGGCACCAACAAAAGCCAGGTCCCTGGCAAATGTCCAGAGTGACCCACTCCCTGCCATTCTCATCGACCCAAGGATCGCCACAGGAGATCCTGGAAAGGTCGGCTTAGAGACGAGATCTGGGACGAAGCCCGGCTCCTCACGATGTGGCGGAAGCCTTGAGGCCCCTGGGCGGAGAAGCACTTGTCGCTTTGGGGCGCTGGGTCTGGTGTCGAATCAATCCGGGACACCGTGAGCAAATCACGGCTTTCCAGCAGCGGCTGTGCCACAAGTCCCATGCCCACTGGGCCCCGCAGCTCTTGGGTCCAGCTTCTTGTTGGCAAAGTTCCCGAAGAAGTGCCTGCTGGAAGAGCGGAATGGGCTTCGGGACTCCGCTTCCGTGTCCATTTGTGCTCTTCACAGAATGGGAAGTCAGCGGGATCCCATGAGATTGGGTGACCTTGCAATGTTCACAGACTATGGTTGCTGTGGCTTCAGCACCACCCTTATGTCCCCCCCCCCCCCGCCCCTGCGCAGGCTTTCCCGCCACTCCCCCTCAATAAGCTGGACATTGGTTGTCGATGTTTCTTTATTTGGAGGTTGCTGACCATCCCTACCACCCCGAAGTAAGGAACCGATCTATTGACCATGGCACATATGGGTGCGTGTCAACATCGGCGGACCCAAGAAAAAAAACGAACATTCCTTTCAGAACAAATCCCTTTGAACCAACCACACCAGAAGCGGATCCCGGTGTTGCGACGTGCGCCAACGGCCGCGCGCCGAGGGCGGCGCGTGCCCTCGAAGCGCGCCAGGGCTTGGCGGAAGCGGCCGAGGTGCTCCGAGCCCAGGCGAGTCTCACAGGCGAACCAAATGGCAACCCAGATATTGGTTGCTGTGGATGGACCAAATCCATTTAAAACCACTTTGAACCCAGACAAAAAACCATTATTGGTCGGTATTTACGGGGGGAATCATCCTTCCGGGGTTTCTTGGGTGCAGGATTTCGTCCACCCACAGTATGGTAACCATGACACTATTGGTTACTATGGTTACCCGGCAGGCTAGAAGTCGGTGGAAACTTGTGCGTTTTGGTAGGCGATAGAAGTCAACCCCCCCTTCAAAGTTGGCAGTTTGCCATGCTCAAAAATGCAGGTGGCCCAAAGTCATGGATTTGGGTTGCCTGCTTTAGCAAACCAGTGCGCCTCCTTCAGACACAGCTCCTTCTCCAAAAGCTTAAGGTCCTCTCGCACAAATTGACCATGAGACTGCGGGAGGTGGGTCACTGCTGGGCACTGCTGGGGCCTAATGCGCTGGCTTCACCCCAACCCTGGCATGCCATGAGGACCACTGAGACGTGGATTGGGTTATTTCAGGGTTCGGAGGCCACTGCACCAGGCACACGGCACTGCATGTGCTTTGGTGACTGCTTCAAGATCTCCCCGCAAGCACTGGCCATTTATGTGTGTGTGTGTGTGTGCCTCAGGTTCATTTATCCTGGCTCTCCATCAGCTTACGCCTACCTGGTGGTTTTCGGAGCCGGGGGCCGAGTTTCGTGAATCACCCGCGCAGAGTGGTCCATCATGAGCAAGCCTCGGACAGCCTCACAGAACCAGTACAGCTATGACATATTATGACTGTGAAAGGGAAAGGAGGGGAGAAACGAGGGAGCAGCAATGCCATGATCCTTCGACGGCTGCATTTGTTGTTTTCTTTCTTCCCGCATGCAAAGCAGAGGCACGCTCAGCTTTTGTGAGCCCCCTAGGGGCTCGCAGGATATCAATGGTGGCAGGCTCCAGTTGTCTACATCTCCGGTCCTCTCCGGTCCTGTCTGGCCAAAAGGAGCCCTTACAAACACATTACTATATCAGCATGGCTGTCAGGAAAGTGTCAGCCGCTCCTCCTTGCTGAACTCAGTGGGAGCCTGGCCGGGCCTGCGGCCAGATCCATCTCAACGCAGCCTCTCCAGTCTCCCGCGCCTTTGCCCCGCCTGTTGTTGGACAGCCACAGGCGCGTTGCCTCCAGATTGGGAACCACCTGAGTCTCAGCGCCCTTGAAGGGTCTGCTCTCTTCTGACCCAACCTGGACGCAGAAAGTTGGAACCACAACCCGAGCAGCTCAATGATTCAATATATATATATATATACACCCAAATGTCGACCTGTTTGTTGGTTTAAATGCTATTTGCGGTGTGTTATGCCTTTTTGCGCTTGGGGGAAAGCAGCAAAAAAAGGTGCCTCTTTTACATCTATTAGATTCTAATGAGAAACTGGGAAAAACATCCTGGGAAAGGAAGTCCTCCTTTAAATCTAATTTGGAGTAAGCATTGCAATTAACCATATTCTGCCAACATAAAATCCTATTTACATTATATTAGGATGTTTCACTGTGAATGTCTGTCTAAGTTCATTGGACATCTCAATCCTAGAAAAAGAAGCCCGCTTCAAAGGCGAATAGAATTCCAAAAAAGAATATTATTTTAACAAACGCCTACTTAAATTCTTGTTAACACTAGACGCTCTACTAGAAAGATGCCTAATTAAATTATATTTTGTGTCTAATCAACAAACACAACTAGAACATGTTAATTTCCAATTTCAAATTCGACTTTAAAAAAGGGCACCTGTTTAGATTATCTTTAAACTAGAAATAGTACCAGGGTTATTTCCTCACTAAACTCCACTTAAATTTCATAGAGATTTGAATCACAATCCTAGAAAAAGAGACCCCCTTTGGAATCTAAATTGAAAAAAACTAAATATTATTTGACGCGGTTCAATTTGATTGTTTGATCATAATTCAAATATGATTTAATAATGACACAATTCCAGTAGAGTGTCTGGTTTTTATCGATGATTCAGATACAAATCTTCTTTGAACAGGAAAACCTTTTTGGATTCTCCTTAAACTGGAACATCCTGCTAGGAGTATTTCCCTAATAAGTTCAAAAGAAGAAAGGAAACCGCCTTTAAAGTCTAATTTGACACAAAGACTCCAAACAAACAACAAAACGTCTTTGAAAAGGAGAAACCATTTAAGTTACTTTTTCAGAATCCATTGGTATTTGTAGTAGTTTCTGCCGTTTTTTGTGGCTTTGGGGAAAGCGGCCAAAAAGAGCACATGTCCAAAGACAATCTGCAAGCTTCAGGTTTAAAAAACTTTTCCAGCGAATCGTGAATCCAGGCCAGAATGAAATGTTAGTCCTTTTAGTCGGTTTGGATATACCTCTGTCCTATTTTTGAGCTGAGGTTTGGTCACAAGATGCCAAACAACTGCAAAGAAGAGAGTCAGGCCCCAAACCGTTTAAACTACTTAAACCCTTTCTGAGAGGAAAGGTCCCCCCCCAAAACGGCCCCAAACCGCTTAAAACCTTTCTGAGAGGAAAGACCCCCCCTCCAGGCCTACAACCGTTTAAACTGTGATAAGATAACCGTTTTAACCGTTTCAACCATTTCTCAGAGGAAAGGTCCCCCCATCCCCCTACTCCCCAGGGCCCCAAAACCGTTTAAACCGTTTAAACATGTTTAAACCCTCTCTCAAATGAAAGCACCCCCCCCCCCCCCAGGGTTCCACTTGAGAGAGGGTTCAAACGGTTCAAACGGTTTAAACGGTTTAAATTTAAACGGTTTAAACGGTTTAAACGGTTTTGGGCCCAAACCTTTCCTCTGAGAGGGTTTTAACGGTTTAAACGGCTTTGGGCTCAGACCTTTCCTTTGAGAAAGGGCTCAATCGGGTTAAACGATTCAAACGGCTGAGTTGGAGAGTCTGTTTCCTTTTGCAGAGTCAGATGTAGTGGGCATCACAGCTGAAGACAGACAAAAAGGTCAACATTTGGGGGGAGGCACCATAAATATATATATATATATATATATATATATATATATATATGTGTGTGTAAACACATAGATACACATACGTGTGTATACACATAAGGCTTCCTCGGTGCCATCAACCCACGAGTCACCCTCCGAGATCTGAGTCCAAGGCGCAGAAGGTGGGCACCAGGAACCGATACTCCCTCTGGGTGCCTTCCTGCCAATTCGCAATTGGCCCCTCTCCCAGCAGAGTTGCTGATTTGTTTTGGGGAACAAGGCCCTTTGAGCCATGTGCTCAAAGTGCTCCAATCCACAGAAACATCCGAATAAATCCCAAGAAGCACAGGCATCCCCAACAGCAAACCCCGAGCCCTTCCGAAAACTCTCCACTGGAGCTGCTCGGTACGAATGGTGTCCATTGCTGAACTGCTCAGACAACTGAGACCTGCCAACACAAGAGTTCAAGGCCGCCAGCTAAAACTTGAAGCCAGAAGTTCCCTAAGCTGAGCTGCCCGACAAAGCAACCAGAGTGACCCGCTTTGCGGAGTTCCGTCAAATACGCCCACTTGCTCACCTTCCCCTCCCCCCGCACCCAGCGAGCGCTGTAGCGCTTCGAGACGAAGGCTGCCCCGTGGAGCTCCAACTTGGGCGTCGCTTTGAAGGTGGGGCCAAGGCGGGTAGATCTCTCTGGCAGAAGCCGAGCCACAGGTACCATGTCTTAAGCTTCCAAAGCCACTTGGCCTAAACGCAAAGGGCAAGAAGAGGAAAAAGAAGACCAACAGGGCACTGCACCAGATTGTCAATAGGGAGGGTCTCGTTTTGTTGGCCCAGAAGTCGACAGTCTGATGCGAGATCGACATGTCTGAAGGGTAAGGATCTTGTGGTCGTTGGTGTTGGGCCCAAATAGACCAGAAATCACCAGAAATCACTCACATGTTGGTGTACCTTTGCAGTGTTCCAAATAGTTTGCACAAGGCTAGATGAGCCCTTCATGGCATGAGCATTCTGCATACCCACAGAAGACAAACGCTTCAATATTCCTTGGACAACTTTCAGTAATCAAATTGTTTAGCTGGATCGTTCACAATAACACACCTGAAGGAAGACAGCCCATGTTAAACAAACCCAACGTTCCTATGTGGAAACCTGCCAGGATTGTCATCAGTGCCCCCCGTACACCTGCCGGCCCCTCGCCCCGCAGTTTCTTGGCGGCCCGGGCATCAGGAGGCAAGAACCTCGTTGCAAAGCCCAAATGTGCCGAGAGAGCGTGTCTTCTTGGCAAGATCTCTTTGTTTTGGGATCTTCAAGCACGATGAAATCAGGCTCTTGCCCTCGGGCATGGGCCAGCCTTCTGCTTGCTCCAAACCGACTTACTATCACACATTTTGTCAACCAGGTTCAGAGGACCCAAAGGCGAGGATAGCCAGATTCCCTGATTCAGGGAAATGTCGGTGTTTCCATGCCGTAATGCTCGGCAAACAACGCTTGCTCCCTTTGTAGGCTGCCGGTGGATTGCTTCAAACACGATGACGCCGGCGTCAAAAAGAGACGCATGAAATTAGCTTGTGAATCAAACAATGTCCAAGTCATGCGCAATCTCAACACTCAAATGGCTGTGCAAAATGGGGCCAAAACAGTTTCAACCTTGATCGACTCTAACTGCACACCCTTCCTGCCATCCCTCGGCCTAGGAGGCTCCTAAAAACATGTTTGCTGCCGCGCAGCGTCCGGATTTGGGTCAGCAGCATGTTCATGCCGTCCTCGTCCTGGCATTCAGCTGCTACTCGCCGCTCCGGATGGCTGGCCGTTGATTTGGATCCGGAAATTTTCGAATGGGCTGAGAGGCCTTCCAAAAAACGGTGGCAGGCTTTGTCGCCAAGGTGAAACCGGGACGAAACTCGTTTCAAACAGAAGCTGCTGTTTGCTTGTTTAGAAGCAAAGGCGGGCCACCTGCCCTGGCTCCTGCAACTCGCTCACGCCTTATTAACTCCGGTCAGTCTTTCTCCGCGGGAAAAGCGTCAAAGCTTCTTGCAAAGCCGGAAAGCTCGCCGACTTTCAAAAGCACGTCTGTGCTCTGCGGACATGATCTGCATCTCAGACATCAGGTTGGGCAGGCCGTGAAGGCTGAAGACATGTCACTCCAAACGAGCGTCCAAACGACCGTTTCCAAGGCTCCTGCCACCGCCGAGAGCCCCCGGCCTCTATGCAGCCACTCGATTGATCCGAGCTGCGTCCAAGCTAAAGGATGCGATGTCCTCCGCGCAGGTGATCTTGCACCTGACGTTCCGCCCAGAGATGCGGAAAGGATCCCATTGGCTGGACAGCTTCGCAAAGCTGACACCAGTTTGGCCCCCTCTCTTTTCGATCCACCTGATCCAAGACAAAAAACCTATGGCATGCCTCCTCTGGGATTCGCAGATGGTGGGCGAGTGGGAAGGTGGAGAGTGAATGGTTCATGAGCGGGGGAAGTACAACAAGAGTGAGCGGATGGTTGAGTCTTACCTCGGTTTCCAGGATACGCCGTGGATATAGAAAGGTTCCTCCATTTCTTTGCTTTCTAAGTCCTTCCTAGATGTACAACCTAATGAATCTCAGATATGAATGGTGATTAAAGGACAAAATGGGCCAGCAATCATTGTCTTATGCTGGCTTCACCTGGTCCCACTTTATCATTCCTTGCGCGAGACAGGCCGGAATGACGAAGGAACAGGAAATAGTCCGCTCTTTGCCTTCGGTCAATCTCATGCGGGAACGAAACCAGAGAGACGAGCAGAGATGGGAATGGAGACAAGTCAATACGATCATTGCAACATTCCCATCTTGAAGGAGAACCCCTACTGGAAAACTCTGGTTGGCTTGGACAACCATTTTGTAGAGCATAGCTTTGTCTCCAACTAGGGGAATCCTTCGAAAGGCTAGTTTTAACTTGGTTTCCTTTTCAACAGTCCCAAAAAGGCGGCGGCAACTTGCTACTATGTGCGCTAGACAGGGAGTCTGGGAAAAATAGGTTTTCCCTTTGGTTTTTGTTTGGGAACATTGAACATGAAGTCTATTTGGCACTCAAAACTCAGGGTGGCTTTCCTTGGTTTCCCTTGGACATTCTTCGGCTTCCCTTTCAAAACAACACCAAAAGTCAGCTTGTTTTTCCCCAATCTAGGGTTGGCTTCTACACATCCAAAGGAAACTGAAAGGACACCACGCATTTGTGGGGCTTTATGGTGATTTTCCTCCAGATCCCTACCTCCGTGTGAGGAAACAACGAAACCCCCGCCTCTTGGGCACCATGGAGACCACCCAATCGCACAAAATCTCGGTGGCCACCGCTGGGCTGGTCTGTGGGCACATGGCGATCCTAGCCATGTGGCTGTGGGTCAAAAGTAGGTAACCCTGTGCCATGGTCAAGAATTTGCGCGTCCAATGGCACTGGAAGGGCCAGCCAGCAACTCCCTTTTCGTGGCAGCAGTTTGGTGAATGTCCTAGTGAACATGCATATTTACCACCAGAATGGGTGTTAGTTCTCCTTTTTGGTGTCCTTGTAATCCAAAAAGGGTGCCATCCGACAAAAGGCTGACCCATATGGCCCATATTGTTTGGCCAAAGCTTGGCCAAATTTGGGCCATTGGCTCCCCTCTATATGAACCGCGATGCTGGTTGTCTAACATCAAACAACACGAAACCCCAAACCGAAAACCCAGAAACCCCACAAACCACACAGACCCCCCAAACCGAAAAACTCAAAAAACAACTCAAGAAACAAGCCCCAAGACGCTCAAAAAAACCACCCCTCAAAAAACAAAAAAAGACGAACTACGTCGTTCCCTACCCAACCCCCCAGCCCACATCAGACAGACCCGTCCGCTCGATGACGTTCACCTCGCCCGGGCGCAGCAGCACCACCAGCTGCGGCGGCGCCGCGGGCGCCGCCAGGTACATGCCCCGGCCCCCCGCCCGCGAGGCCTGGCAAAAAGGGCCAAGAGGCAGAACTTCCATTTGCTTAAGCCCTCAAAAAAAAACTTCCAGTAGTGATAGATTCCCTTTAAAGCTAACTGGGGAAGAAATCAAACTTAAGCAAATGGAAGAGAACTCAAACGAAAGCAACACTTTGTAAAGAAATAAATGTAGTTGTACAGGGGTCTGCCTGAAAAAATATGTACAGAATCAGAAGCGGTACAAGGGAGCCCGCCTTGGTTGGCTTTTGAAGGTGCCTTTTATGACTATAGGAAAAACACGCTTGGGAGGGGGGGGGAGGGTCCACTATTTTTGTTCAACACCTTTGCATGTTGGTGCCCACTGGCTACAATCTCTCCAAACCACTGCCTCCATGAGAAACGGGGTATATACCCCTTACAGCGTAGGCATGTGGCGCTCGCATGTTCCACAAAAGAGGCGCTGCGTTCTTGTGCTTCTCAACCGCAACGCCCCCTTACCCATGTGCGGGTATACACCCTCAAGCCCTTGCATAAGATCTGGGGAAGCTGGGTCGAGCTTTGTTCTGGCGCATTGCGCCCCAGTAAGCACACCAGAGCTACAAATCGTAGCGGCCATCTTAATTCATCGAGCACCGTGTCCACAACAAAGGAATGGGCTCTTGTGACCACTACACACAGTGGCTGAAGCCAATCCAAGTCGTGTGGGTCAACGTTCAGGGGCCTGATGCGGATGAGCAAAATGTAGGCGACGACGTGGGCGAACGCATGGTGGCGTCACTCTGTTGAAGAACACACGGGGTCGCCTATTGGCTCAGTGGGAACAAAAGATCTCAAAGGTACCTTCTGATCAGCTCAAATGCGTCAAACACAAAGCAGTCACAAAGTAGCACATCCCGATGGGGGAGCTCTAAGCAGGCAGTCGTTTACGTGCAGGTGCTACGTGTTTTGCGCGTGCAATTAGCTACCCTGCAAATGTACATGGAACCCCAGAAAGACTTGCTCTAAGGGAAAAACTGCTAGGGCACCTACTCATTGGGTTCAATGTGAGTTTGCGGGGACACCCTCCCCCCTCTGTTTTCTGGGGATCAATCCATCAACCTGAAAGTTTGCCCCCAAAGTGTGGCGGTTCCTTCTCAATTGAGCCACCCCTCATTCATCAACCGTGGTTGATCAATATCCCAATACAAAAGGACAACCCCTATCAATCCCACCAAAATTGCACACCCCCTGTATCTTCAAATTTGGGTGTGGGTCAAAAATGGAAACTTCAGAATGGAGAAGCACGGACTAAAAAAACCTGTGGTCCATTTGGTAGACCCATACCCATACCCATACCCATGCTTAAAGTTGACCCATACCGAATTCGGGCGCCGAATCCCGATCCTTTCCCCCCGACTTCCGACTTCGACGCCTCCGTGAGGCCGAAGGCCTTGACCTCCCCGAGCTCCAGGCTTTGGCCCCAGGCGCCCACGATGGGCGCCACCTCCGCCGGCCTCAGGACCCACACCGCGTGGCCTGGGCGACGACCAAAGCCCGCGGGTCGTCAGAGATTTGGCCAGGGGTCAAAATCCAAATCGTACCCCAGTGAACATCCCAATCCCCACTAAAATAGGTTCTAAAACGGGTGGCGCACCTACCCGAAAATGGTACCATTGGTTTTGACTAGCCATGTGGGAAAATGCCAAACAAATACAACAGTGGGGTGGGATGGGTGGTGGGTGGGGGAGCATCTACCTTGGTGGGTCGCGAGAAGAGTTGGGGCCATCCAGATGCATGGCTGCCTTGAACTACTTGCGGCAAATGTTCCGCAAGCCCCTAATGTTGAATCTGGAAGCCTAAACTCCGCCGACAACAGACGGCGTGTTGGACACAAAAAATGCTCCTTACCTCTTTACCTGTTACCCCTCCCCTAACCCCTCCCCAGAGGCACCATTTCAGACTATTGCGGGGGGGGGGGGGTCCACGCGGGTGATTCGAAGACGCTTCACTAAATCTGTTCATTGTGCGGGCTTGCGCAACTCAGTTTGTCAAAAACATTGGGGTGTTCGATTCCCCCCGGGTGCGCTTTCGCATCCTTAGCAGCTCCAGCGGCACATCGCCAGCATCACCTGCATCATCCGCATCAGCGCCTGCCAAGGATGCGGATGATGCAAGTGATGCTGGGGATGTTGCCCATGCTGGTGAAGGAAATGAAGGGGGGAAAGGGGAGGGGGAAAGATCTCAGGGAGGAAAGGGAGAAGATCTGGGGAAAAAATGCCTTTAAAAAAAAGGGGGGAAAAGATCTTTGGGAGGAAAAGGGAAATCTTTCTCGGGGGGAACAGGCCCTAAGGGGCAATAAAGGGACAGGATCTCAAACGGGAAAGGGGGAAAAAGACTTTGGGAAGACAAGGGTGGAGATCTTAGGAAAAAGGAAAAACTCAGAGGGAGAAAGGGCCTTAGGGGGGAAAGGGGAATGGATCTCAACAGGGAAAGGTGGCAAAAGATCTTAGGAAAAAAAAGGGAGAAGATCTCAGGGGGGGAAAGGCCTTAGGGGGGAAAGGGGGGAAAGGATCTGAGCAGGGAAAGGGGGGGAAAGATCTTAGGGAGGAAAGGGAGAAGATCTGGGGGAAAAAAGGCCAACAGGGAAAGGGAAGAAAGATCTACGGAAGGAAAAGGGAAAAGCTCTCAGCGGGGGAAAGGCCTCAGGGGGAAAGGGTGGGAAGGATCTCAACAGGAAAAGGGGGGGAAACAATCTTAGGAAGGAAAGGGGGGGGGAAGATCTGGGAGAAAAGGACTTAGGGGGGAAAGCCCAACAGGGAAAGGGGGGAAAAGATCTTAGGAAGGAAAAGGGAGAAGCTCTCAGGGGGGGGAAAGGCCTTGGGAGGAAAGGGGGGAAAGGATCTCAACAGGGAAAGGGTGGGAAAGATCTTAGGGAGGAAAGGGGGGGGGGGAAGATCTTAGGGAGGAAAGGGAGAAGATCTGGGAGAAAAGGACTTAGGGGGGAAAGCCCAACAGGAAAGGGGGGAAAAGATTTAGGAAGGAAAAGGGAGAAGCTCTCAGGGGGGGGAAAGGCCTTAGGGGGGAAAGGGGGAAAAGGATCTCAGCAGGGAAAGGGGGGGGGGGGGGGAAAGATCTTAGGGAGGAAAGGGAGAAGATCTGGGGACAAAGGCCTTAGAGGGGAAAGGGGAGAAATGATCTCAACAGGGAAAGGGGTGGAAAAGATCTTAGGGAGGAAAGGGAGAAGATCTGGGGGAAAAAAGGCCAACAGGGAAAGGGGGGAAAGATCTACGGAAGGAAAAGGGAGAAGCTCTCAGGGGGGGAAAGGCCTTAGGCGGGAAAGGGTGGGAAGGATCTCAACAGGGAAAGGGGGGAAACAATCTTAGGAAGGAAAAGGGAAAAGATCTGGAAAGGCCTTAAAGGGAAGAAGGGAAAGGATCTCAACGGGGAAAGGAGGCAAAGGATCTTAAGGAGGAATAGGGAGAAGATCTCAGCGGGGGGAAAGGCCTTAGGAAGGAAAGGAGGGAAAGGATCTCAACAGGGAAAGGGGGGGAAAGATCTCAGTGAGGAAAGGGAGAAGATCCCAGGCAGGGAAAAGGCCTTAGGGGGGAAAGGGGGAAAGGATCTCAACAGGGAAAGGGGGCAAAGGATCTTCGGGAGGAAAAGGGAGAAGATCTGAAAAGGCCTTAGGGGGAAAAGGGGGAAAGGAGCTCAACAGGGAAAGGTGGGAGAGGATCCTAGGGAGGAAAAGGAAGAAGATCTTGGGGGGAAAGGGGGAAAGGATCTCAACCAAGGGAAAAGATCTTGGGGAGGACAAGGGAGAAGAGCTCAGGGGGGGAAAGGCCTTAGGGGGGAAAGGGCGGGAAAGGATCTCAACAAGGAAAGGGGGGAAAAGATCTTAGGAAGGAAAAGGGGGAAGATCGCGGGGGGCAAAAAAGCCTTAGGGGGGAAAGGAGGGAAAGGATCTCACAGGGAGAGGGGGGAAAACATCGTAGGGAGGAAAAGGGAAAAACTCAGAGGGAGAAAGGGCCTTAGGGGGGAAAGGGGGAATGGATCTCAACAGGGAAAGGTGGCAAAAGATCTTAGGGAGGAAAAGGGAGAAGATCTCAGGGGGGAAAGGCCTTAGGGGGGAAAGGGGGGAAAGGATCTGAGCAGGGAAAGGGGGGGAAAGATCTTAGGGAGGAAAGGGAGAAGATCTGGGGGCAAAGGCCTTAGGGGGGAAAGGGGAGAAATGATCTCAACAGGGAAAGGGGTGGAAAAGATCTTAGGGAGGAAAGGGAGAAGATCTGGGGGAAAAAAAGCCAACAGGGAAAGGGGGGAAAGATCTAAGGAAGGAAAAGGGAGAAGCTCTCAGGGGGGGGAAAGGCCTGAGGGGGAAGGATCTCAACAGGGAAAGGGGGGAAACAATCTTAGGAAGGAAAAGGGAGAAGATCTGGAAAGGCCTTAAAGGGAAGGGGGGAAAGGATCTCAACGGGGAAAGGGGGGAAAGGATCTTAAGGAGGAATAGGGAGAAGATCTCAGCGGGGGGAAAGGCCGTAGGGGGGAAAGGGGGGAAAGGATCTCAACAGGGAAAGGGGGGGAAAGATCTCAGGGAGGAAAGGGAAAAGATCCCAGGGAGGAAAAGGCCGTAGGGGGGAAAGTGGGGAAAGTGGGGAAAGGGAGGAAAAGGGAGAAGATCGCGGGGGGAAAAAAGGCCTTAGGGGGGAAAGGGGGGAAAGGATCTCAACAGGGAGAGGGGGGAAAACATCTTAGGGAGGAAAAGGGGAAAAATCAGAGGGAGAAAAGGCTTTAGGGCGGAAAGGGGGAATGGATCTCAACAAAGAAAGGGGGGCAAAAATCTCAGAGGGGAAGGGGGCAAGGGGACAATTCCAAAGGGACGCGAGTAAGAAAGCAGGCCTGTAATGTCGGCGGCCTGAGCCGGAGGCGTTAAAATTCGAGGCTTGATTCCTGGCCGATGACACCAACAAACTGGCTTTCGAGTATCAGTGTTGGCACAACGCAATTGTGAAGACCTCATACTTGAAAACAATATTATCCCAGTTGAGTTTGTTCGCTGGTTGTGCAGCAAAGGACCTGTTGCTGCGTTGTGTGCATGGTGATACTTGATCTGTGTTGCTGCGCTTGTGTTTGTTGCTCTTGCTGCTGTTGCTCGGCTCTGGCGGTCGCTGGAGGTTCCTACGTTGCTTTGCCCACTGCCGCGCTACGTTTCCAGGGGATTGAGCCCGATGGAATTGGTGTGCATTGCGAGCAATAAACCCGATTGCAAGGCTCAGGAAGACTCATAGAAAGCTTTGCAGGATCAAGCAACCCCGTCCAGATTTTGCCGTGCCTTCAAACTTGGTGGCGGCGGCAGCTTCCTGCAAAATGAGAGCGCTGCTTGACGCACATGGGTTGCTTCAAAAGCATCTGAGAGTTGCGCGTATGTGCGACAGGGAGACGTTGGAATGTTGCATCATACTCCGGAACACTCCAGCAAGAATGCAAGACGATGCACTTGTCCCCAATTTCTGGAATAAAAAGTTTTGGGCTGATCTCAAGAGAAGTGCAAGAACGGAGTGTTGCAACAGTAGCCGTGCAGAAGCGAGCCCCAGAAAGCTTCGAAACTCGCGGGGCCTGCGCCACGCTCTGGGCGACGATGGTGGGCCCCGCTGGCCGGCTCTTGCTGCCGCCCATCGGACAGACCGCTCAGACCGCGCAGACCGCGCCGCTCGAGTGTGGCTGTGTCAAGGGATGTGTTCGAAATGTGTGCTTTTCCCTTTCCTCAAAGCTAGCCTACAGGATTGCTTCACAGCTTAGGGTGAAGGTCTAGAACCGCTTGCCGCACAGCTCATGCTTAGCGCCCACTGGTGCACTCTGGCTGAGAAAGCGCCCTACGTCGACTGGTCTTTGCCAAGGTTTGGCTGAAGGATACCGGTGAATGGATAACAAGCCTCGTCTGTCATACTTCATCGTATCATCCTGAGGGTCTCGCTGCACAAACACATGACACAACGTCTGATTGAACCCTTTCCATCAGCAAGTTGCGTGCAATACTCCGAGCAACGCTTTCACAAGATCCGACACAGCTCCAATGACACCAGTCGCAGTACCCGCGCCTTCTTCATCGTGAGACGACCAGTAACCACATTGCCTGGCTGGCAACAGTGCCCTGCAGTCCCAGCAAGTACGCAGGCCTTTGCGCTGGTCGAATCAAATTCGCGGGCATTGCCACCTCCATGCTTCCGTACCTGTTTGGTTTCATCCGTGCTCCCTCCACTTCGTTCCGAACTAGAAAAAAAACCGCTTGGCTGATGCTTCGGGAAGTCAGAAGGAAAGTAAGCCACGCCGGGAGCACATGCTGCGCTAACCTGGCACTGCAGGGGGGTTCTTAGGTCCCTGGATGTGCATTTCAAAGCCTGCAAATGACTGGTAGGCATCAAGAAGAAACTGCTACAATACTATGTGATTGAATGATGTACGCATGCAAACAATAGCCAGTATTCACAAGAACGATCAAGCACTAAATTCAAAACGTGCTTGATACTATTTATGAACACATCTATATATAACATAAACATATTCATAGAGACAAAGAGACAGGTTGTGTTTGGCAAACTATGTTAACGCCACGTTGTCCGGGCGTGTGCTTTCCTGGTTGTTTGTTGTCCTACTATCCACACGTCCCATTGTCATGTTCCTTGTTTTTTCCCTAGTACGTGCATCTTGTCTAACTCTCGGATCGTTCTTCATGGGTTAACTCACTATCATGTTCTCTGATGGTATGAAATGTCCGACTATTACATTGTTTGCTGCTGGTGATGTCTTTTTCTCCTTGGTCACTTTAGCCCTCACTGCTCCGCACATCGTGGTGGCACATTGTCCGTTTGTCATGTGCTCTCGCTGTGTTGTGCCTTTCTTCTTGCCTCATGGCCTGCAAGTCCAATGATTCTCTCGTGTTGGCAGAATCACTGTGATCCTGGATCGTCCAGTTGACATGTTCTCCTAGTCTCTTCTCGGCTATAGTCAACATAATATGTCGTTGTCCGCTTGCTTTGTGCTCCTTTGTCCGACGGTTTTATTGGCCTTTGGCATTCTGTCCATTGTCCAGTTGCCATTCCGGCGTGTGGCTTTGCAGTTCTGTTGTGCACTGTTGTTCGCTTGTTCCTGTGTCCTCGTCTCCAGACTGTCAGATTTTCCTCCAAAGCCAACAGTCAAACAACAAACACAAAGCAACTCATCCTCATCAACGTCACACTTCTCGGAGCACTTGGCGAACAAGAAACACAAATGCGAAAACTATCCTCCTCATGTGTGCAGCATACATTGAATAAATAATCCTTGATCCAGCTCCAGATACGCAACGCCAGATGCAAAGCTGCGCATGTCCTGTCGAACAAAGCTCTATTAATACAAGCCAAGCAAACCTATGTGTACAAATCTCAACTTGCGGCTGGAAGCCGACAATCAGCTGAGCTATTTTCATGAGTGAACATGCTTCCGATTACGGCCTGGAATCTTGCAAAAGCCATTGAAAACAATTGTATGGGTGCAAAGCTTGAGGTTCTCGCAATACTTCAAGCGCAACTGCAAGACGAAGGCACAAAGACGTGGTATCCAGGAACATGTCCATGTGGACTTGTCCAAAGGCGGAAGGATGCTGCGGTAACTGTCTGGATCGACAGTTTTTCGTGAATGACCTCATCAAACATGCCATAGTATCTCCCAAAGCCCGTTTCGTATATCAGATCTGGCAACTTGAATCTGTAAGAAGCACAGCATACAGCCTTCTCGATACACATTCAGTATGAATCTCATCCACGATTTGACCGCAAATCAGTGCCGATATCAGGCGTCACCAGGTATCTGGAACTGGCCCGGGAACATGTCTTCCGCCATTACGCCACCACATCCACTTGATGATATGGCCAACACTGAAAGCATCAAATCTATTTGGCAAGGTGGCAAAGTTGTGTTTGTAGCTACATAATGTGCTCATCCACCCATTCAGCACAAGACGGCTTTCGTCCCAATTCGGCCAGTTACTTCATTTCAGCAACCCTCAAGATTGTCCTTTGGAACCATATGGAACCATGCATGTCAAGTCATGCACCATATCAGTGTCATCCCGTTCACGGGCTAGGTCTGCAGGCGTCTTGCCATCCAAATCTGCGAGGTTTGGATTCGCCTTGGCCTGCAACAAAAGCCGCACTGCTTCGCGATGTGCACGGTCAGCTGCAATTGCCAGAGCGGTGCGGCCAGTATATTCCACTTGGTCCTTGTCCAATGTTCCCACTCTCAATGTCCAATATGCTGAGGGTTTTAAAATAGTATTAACAAATTGCGGGGAATGCATGTCCAATAACAAAACGAACTAGTGGCAGTAGCTCATGTTTCTGCACAGAAATCTGCAGGGAGCCGAAAAGACCTCGGCGACACATCTTTTGTCAGGTCCTTGTCCGCGGCTGCATCCAGCAACTTTCGGATCAACTCAACGTGCATGATTCTGGCAGCAATTGTCAAAGGTATGAGCCCGTCTTCATCGCGTTGGTTGATATCAGCGCGAGCCTTCAGGAAGGATTCAACCAGGTAGATGTCTCCATAGTGTGCAGCTACAGTCAACGCAGTACGTCCTTTGAGAATCGGCTTGTCAAGCTTGGCACTAAATTCGATCAAAGTGTTGGCAACCGCCATGTCGCTGCGCAAGACTGCTACACGTAGGGGAAACTGAAGACTGCCAGACTCTTCACCACTGGCACGTGCCTCCAGCAAGCTTCTTACAATTTGTGGAAGGCCAGAACATATGGCGGCCACCAGCGGAGATTGTCCCGTGGAATCTTCTCGGTGACAGTCGGCCTTACCATCCAACAGGAGGGACACTACTTCTGCATGCCCTTTGCGGCTCGCTTTCAAAAGTGGGGTCGCTCCATCTTCATCTTCGCAGTTGGGATCCTGAAATTGGCTCAAGACACTTCTCACTTGATCGATTGCACCATCTGCTGCAGCCAACAAAAGCTGCTGGTCAAATTCGCGCGTCAGGGCTTGCAAGGCCATTGTGATCTGTTGAGGCCGTCCCAGCTGCTCCCAGCTTTGGCCCAACAACAGCTGCTCGGACCCAAGCAGAAATCGGACCCCGAATGCTTGCACCGGGGGCAGTCTGTCAGTCAAGTCGCTGACAAAATCTGTGGAGTCGAACAACTCGTTGTCTGGCCATTCAATCTTGCAATATAGCTCCCCGCTCATCGCGGCAAAAACTTCGATTGCCGTGGTCTTTTCGACCAGGTCGTCCGGGGCACCACCATCATATCCTTCCATACGGTGGAGAAATGATATCACTGCCTCGATAAGTCAAATCAAACTACCAAGGCTTGAGCTTGAAGATAGAGGAAGACTGAAATACATTGAACAACTGTCCAAGCGATCAGCGGTTTGGATGCGTTTTTTGTGGATTTCACGTCGTCGTGTTCTTCCACGTGTTGGTCCCTGTTTGGTCATCTTTCAGTACTCTGTCAATGTCCTACAGGGGCGGATCCACAAAAAGCCACATCCAAACTGTTTTGTAGAGCTAGTGATTGTGTTCATACATCAGAGGTTCCCAAAACTAGTTTTTCCCTGATATGCTCAACTGTGATGCACACCGCGTGCCCCCGCCAGTCTGCCCTGGGATGTTTCCTGGGCAAATTGAATTTGCCACGCGCATTCAATCACTTGAGATGGCCAACATGAAAAATGCTTTGCGCATGACGAATCTCAACTTGCTACCTACTTACGATGATTCTGCATGGATCCCCCAAACCCCAGTCCAACGGTCCAGCCCCTCACTTTCCCGCAGCTAGGCAGCCAACCCCTGCATCCGTGCGGCCGACGCGGCTCCAGCGGAGCCTGCGCGCTCAGTGGGGAGTCAGAAAGGGTTCTTGGTGCTGATTTCAAGGAAAACCCAAGAAGCATGCTGGAAACACGGGTGAGCGAAAATGTGCACTTCCGCACGAAGTCAAGGACGCTAGGGCAACTGGGGGAGGAATAATGACTTTTGGTGGTCACAGCACTGCCTCAAGTGTGCACAGGGTACGTAGCGGAGTCGAGAGGTCGCTTCTCCAGCCAAGCCATCCGCCTTTTGTTTATCAAAGTGGAAAACTGGGCACGCCAAACTGTCGTGCAATCAGCAAACTTGGGCCGAAATGCCTCCCTTTCATAGCAGCTCATAGCACAAGTTGCGGTGAATACACACGGCGCAACTGATCATGCATGCTGGCGCCAGAGGAACCAAGTCTTCTGGACCCTTCATGTTTCAAGGTGTGTGTGTGTGTGCGTATAAAAGACGGCGGAAGGTCCATATTTCAGCGTCCTTTCTGGAGAATGCTTGGCGGTGGTGATAACCGCCATATGTGTTGCTGCTGCATTTACCTTAACAGGGTAGCCAAGGGCCAGAAACGCGGGGTTTTAGCCACTTCGTTTCAGGGCCTTCGAGAACCTGGCCATCAAGGCACGTGCCAAAAAGTTGCCACAAGTCCAACTGCCCGCGCACAGCATGTCAGACCCACCGACACATGACCAGCACCCGCGCTTTTGGAACTTGTTCGTTCACGGCAAATGACAGGGGGTTGATCAAAAGGTCCTTTGCATGGGATGACCAATAGGGAGACCCGCAAGAAAGATGAATTTCACCACATGGGAAGAGCTACCCACGGCCATTTCGGGGCCCTAAATGGAATTTTGACCAAGCCACCTATCCCGGCAAAGCGCCTGCTGAGGTTTCCGAAGTTCTCCGGAATCATGGCCCCCGCCTTCGATACGGAAAGTGATCTCTCACGTTGTGCCGCCGTGCGAAGAACATTGGCTTGTGTTGAACACAATGGGGCTGGGAACAAGTGCGCCTTTTGTGATGGCGCTCCTGCGCTTGGCCGAGTGATCCGTGCGGCGCTCCATGAGGTGTGCAGGCGGCTCCCAGAAACCAAGACTCGCCAGAATAAGATTGTACCCTTGATCAGTTCGATCTAGGTCAGTGTTTGGCAAGCCCCAAAGACGGAAATACTGGCACTGCCAAGCAACTGCACAAAGGAGGAAAATTGACCAACAGTGGGAACACGTGAGCAAGATGTGTACATGCAATGTGTGAGTGCGGACATACATACAGATATAAATTACTGTGAAAAGTACATGCGCCTCGCAAGACAAATTTCGGAGAGTCGGTGAATGTGAGTCAGCTAGTTGCGTGAAGGCGATACAGATTGTGATTGAGATCCCTTTAGAAGTCCAGAAGAACTTGGTGCGCTTTGGGTGCAGGCTCCAAAGAAAACGTGACAAATGCCGAGCGAACTGGAGCACAGTTCCCGTGCTCCAAGAAAAAGAAAAGCTGGATTTCCAATATGGCATGAGCAGTGCGGCAGGCTGCAAATTGAACCGTCAACTGCAATTATTGCGAAGCTTATGTATAGGGCCCACCTCTCACCTCTTGGCAACTGGCTTGGCACCCGCGAGACATGCCACGGGGCACGTCCCTTTCAGCTGAAAATGGCTCAGAGCCAATACCTTGATTCATGTACTTCGCGTATACGGTGCTTCACTTTCTGTGAATTTCTCCAAATTGCTCGGATTGCTATAAAACACCTGTCTTGGCGAAGCACTAGACCAAGCGAAATGAACACAGCAAAAAGCAACCACTCCTTGAGAATGAACAAAACAACACACCACAGGCAGGGGTAGCGTGCCACATTCTGCTCGCCTTCAGCAGCGCCAGTTCCAACTCCGTCTCCACAGCACGGACGAACTTTTCGCCGCCTCGCGAGGAGCAAATGCCATGACTGCATCGTGTCCTTTTGCCGCGGGTCTCCGATTGGTCCGGTATTTTCCCCGAGTTCTGATTGTGTTGGTCAGTCTGTTGAGCTTCTTGGTAGTAGAAGCCCTTGAAACCCTGCTAAGGTTCAGGCAAAAGCAGGGCTGCTGTAGACCCACATAGTCATGGCCCAGGTAACCTGGCAAACACATCCGGACGGAGGGCCACTGCAAGAGCTGATTAGCATTGTTGTCCCGTACAAAACCAGTCCGCCTGAGGAATCTGAATGGCCTCTCTCCAAATTCGGGGCAACTGTTGAGGAGCGTTGTAAGGCGAACCCAAATAAGTCCAGTCAACTTTTGCGTCCCTGCTGGGACATGCAATGTCAAATGAGTCACGATCCATGAGCTTCGACTTTCAGTGGTCCAAATGCTGATGCACACGATTAATTTTCTCCTGAGGCCCCACTCACGAAGGCAAAAGAACCAAAAGAACCGCTGGGCTGTCGTCTTCAATCGCCAAAGAACGCCACCCAGGAGCTGCCGTCTTGGGCGCTTCCGGTGCCGGCAAATCCGTGTTTATCCCCACCCCGCCTATGATCAGCGCTACCGTGCTCTTGGAGCACCGCTCGGAGCGCCCGGCGAAGACCCGCCAATCCAGGCCCTGCGCATTCCAAGAGGCCCCAGTCCATAGGTGGCCTTTGGAAGAAAAGATGGCCCTGGTAAATGGAACAAAATGGAACAAAACCCATCTAAACCAGTGGAGCCCATCTATTTTTAACCAAAGCAGCCTAAAAAGGACGCATATGCCCCAGTCTGAGTCCTTGCTGAAGCCTCTGAGTCTCCAACAGCACTTTCCCCCCAATGTCGGCCATGCTCCGTGGATGGTGATGTGGTTTGTAAGATTACGAAGTGCCCATCGCTGCACCAAAGCTTTTTGCCCAAATTGGGCCCTCTCTTCTTCATATCCTGCTCTTGAATTCTCGATGCTTGTCTCTTGGTGGCATAAAGAAGTGTGCTCTGTGTGATCTAAGTCAGCCCGGCAGCTCTGCATTGGTTTGAGAGCAAGGCACTGAACCCGAAAGAAGCATCTGCGGAAGACTCTAGCAGAGCACCCTCACAAGGGGCCAACTCTACCATGTTTCAAAGATTGACCGTCTGCCTCGTCTCGAGATCCTTGACGGGAACCTGTCAAACTGAGGGACCCCTCCATTGGATTCCTTTAAGTGGTGAAGAGGTATGCGCGGTATTGTCGACGCGACAGTCCTCTTGCTCATAGCGGAAAGCATAGGAACCAACACCTGGGATGAAAACGATCTAGCACTCTCTGTCACGTCGGAGTTGTTTGCGCTGGGCCCATCAATTTACCAATGAGTCCAGCAAATATGTTGCAATCCCAACGATCACAAGCTTGACCAATTTGATACAGGTCCCAAACAGCGCCCCAACCCCTAGCGAGCACTCAACTTCTCAAGAAGCAAAACAGCCTCTCCACCAATCATCGAACCATGGGCAACTGTTGACAAGCATTGCGTACGCCCTCGCGACCCGTCTGAGCTGAAGGCAAGTGCAAAAGCGCTGCCTCGAGTCCTTGCGAAGGCCGAAGCGCAACGTGGCTGCGATGTCTTTGTTTTAAGCTGTCCGGTGCCCAAACGAGCCATCGCACTCACCAAGCGGCAAGCAGCTGGCTTGCAAAGAGTCTGTGTGCAACAAAAGCATTGCACTCTTTCAATCCGCCAAATCGTCCGCCCGGAAAAGGAGGGCAATGATCCTCTACAGCTTGTGGCGGGGAAGAGGGATTTTTAGCAGCCCAAGTGGGTGGTTGTGCAGATTGATGGTTTGGGGACTTGAAACCCCAATTTCTCTTGAAACCAAATGAAAAGGTACCCTAACCTCCAAACCACCAACCCCAAATCACCAATCAGGGATGAGGCAAATGTCCAGGTTTGATCTCTGGAACTTGATACATCTGTCTTCCCTTCGTGTGGATCAGCTAATCCATGCACGCCTTTCGAGGACTTGAAACCCTCGGCAAATCCTTCCTTTTGCCGAGTCACCTCACGACCCCGGCGCTCACGAGCTGGTCGATGATCTCCTGCTTGTCCGTCATGGCCCCACTGGGCTCCTGCATTTTGTGGATGTGAAGGCACAGCCGAAGCTCCTTGCCAGTCATCTGTGCGGCAGCCTCCCGGGTCTCAGGGCCCAAGCAGCGCAGAATTCCGTGGCGGCATCGCAAGGACTTGAAGCGCTCCTTGAGGAAGGCAATGTCACTCTTCACTTCGTTCCGCTCGACCAGAAGCTGCTCCAAGAGTTGCTGCAGCATGGGCTCTGAGCTTGCTGTTTGTGGAGTGTGACCTTCCATGCACCTGAGCAGCTTGGAATACACGCAGCACGCCTTCTGGGTGTAGGTGTCCGACTCCGCAGGCCTGCTCAGCGCATTGCTGGCTGCTGACAGCTGCGCATCGAGCTCGTCGATCCGCCGAACCAGCACTTTGCAAGCCTGCGCGTGCGAAGGAGGGGGCTCAGCAGCCCATTCACGGAGCTTGCGCACAAGCCGAACTTCGTCCAAGTCCGCTATCCGAGGAATGATGGAGATAAGGTAGGCATCCTCGTCATACGCAATGGCCTGGCTGGTCAGATTTGACAGCCACGCCATCTCCGCGAGCAAGTGCTCGCCAGCGCTCAGCAACTCATCAAAAGCTGGCCCTTTCGAGTTGTGCGTGGCAGTGGGCGACGGCGCTGCATCTAGCAGCGCGTTCACCTGCTGGATCAGAAGCCTCCTCCGGGCACGCTCCTCCTGAAGTGGCAAGCTATCAGCAGCTTGCAGGATCTTCGTCCCCTCATCCTCCGCTGCGAGCTTGGAGACGCGTTGCTCTCGGACATCCTCCTGGAGCTTCCGCAGCCGCTGCTCCAAATCTAACAGCTCACTGGCCATGGCTGGCAGGCCAATGATAGGTCTTGTTGAGCGGGGCCATGTCGTGTGAGCTAGCAACTTGGGAGTGGCGCCGGGAATTTCCGTAACTGGGCAAACAAAGTCGATGTGAACTCTCAGGCATCAAGTCACTCCGTTGGCAATCCTTCGCCATCATTTGTCCTTTTTGTTTGCCAGCAGTTTGCTTTCAGCGTTGTGCGTTGACCCAGGAAGAGGCGTCACTGTCCAGTAAGCATGTGGAGGAAGCCACAGGATACATGGGTGCAGAAAAGGAAGAAGGTCTAACACCGCCACCTCCCAACTGCTCGGGTTTGAGCCCCTTTTTGAGCCTCGGGCTACTCATTTGCGATGGCATTGGCCCCTGTCCTGGAGGTCGTCCCCTGTGTCGTCAATGCCCATCTCATCCACTTCGGCGCATCGGCGGAGCGTTGCCTACATGACTTTCGCACCACTTTGGAGATACAACCTTCATTTGAAAGGGTATAATCAAGGCCTCTAGAACAAAAACGCGCTTCTGGGCTGAGCACACCCTGGAATGATGGTTGTTGGGGCTATTCTGCCGTTTCTGTTGAGGGCGGCACATGTTTAAACAATGCAGAAACATGCAAAGAGAGAAAGAGAAATAGAAAGAGAAAGAGAAAGAGAAAGAGAGCAGAAGACACAAAAAAAGAGATCAGGCAGCTGACCAGACAGCTGACTGTCCTGAGTCTTGCCTTTCACAAATGATTCAGATCCAGCTGGCGAAATGCCCAACCTGCAGCTTGAAAAGCTGCCTCAAATCATTCCTGCAAAGCAGGGGAGTTCAAAAGGCTGCTTCATGTGCCCCTGAAATAAGGTTTGTTGAAATCCTGCGGCCAGCAAGCGAAACTATCCGCAAACAGTTTGAGCTGCCGAATGGCAATCTGTCGGAGTCAATGCGAATGGGAGAATTGCAAGCTCATTTTCCTTCCGTAGTCCTGCAAAACATGCCTCAAGTCAATCCTTCAAAGGGGGGTACTGTGACGCTCGCCCTGGAAAAATGAAAAAGTGGTTGAGATCCAATACAAAGAATTCGACACTACAATAAGGGTTGCACCAAAGGGAATCTGCATTTTAGCAGAAAGCCTCTGCAATACTAAGCCAATACAAATTCAAATGGAATCAAATGATACAGCCAAACACTTCAGTTATGTACAGACTGAAATAAGCAAACAACTCGGGAATGCTGGGTGAAATGAAAAATGAAAATTGAGTCTTACCAGCAACACGAAAGGAATGCTAAACGAAACGGATCATTCAAGTCTCGGCATTAAGCTTGAGCAGTACTGGGCAAGGCAGAACCACATGAGTGAAAGTCGTTCTTGGGGCTCCATGTTTGGAGCGAAACTTCCTGGGTCCAAAGCTGGTGGTGCTCTTTGAAACCGCCTCAAAAGGGCACCATCCAAAAAAAGAAGCATGACACCGCCCACCGCTTTTCTGCCACTGTCAGGCAACTGGAAGCGAAGGTCGATGCCGTGGCCAGTGGACCGGGAGTGGCGCCTGAGATCTTCGCTGCATCGGAAGGAATTCCCGCAGGAGCACACGAAGCAGCCCGCATGGCTCTCGGCTTCGTGCTGCTTCATCCGCTCACCTAGAAACCCGCAAATGGCACAGGGCCCATCCGCCCTAGAGGACATGCCCTTGGGCACCACAAACAGGGACGACATCGAGCCCGAGTCAGCCAGAGCGGGCGTCGCAGCTTTGGTCTTCACATCCATGACCTCGCAAGGGGGAGAGTCCTCCTCCGGTTCTCGTGGCATGTCCAGCCCATCTGGAGGTCCTTTGAACCTGAGTTGCAAATGGCTCCGCGCGAAAACATCAATTGAGCAACACGAAAGAAATGCTAAACGAAACGGAGATTCAAGTCTCGGCATTAAGCTTGAGCAGTACTGGGCAAGGCAGAACCACATGAGTGAAAGTCGTTCTTGGGGCTCCATGTTTGGAGCGAAACTTCCTGGGTCCAAAGCTGGTGGTGCTCTTTGAAACCGCCTCAAAAGGGCACCATCCAAAAAAAGAAGCATGACACCGCCCACCGCTTTTCTGCCACTGTCAGGCAACTGGAAGCGAAGGTCGATGCCGTGGCCAGTGGACCGGGAGTGGCGCCTGAGATCTTCGCTGCATCGGAAGGAATTCCCGCAGGAGCACACGAAGCAGCCCGCATGGCTCTCGGCTTCGTGCTGCTTCATCCGCTCACCTAGAAACCCGCAAATGGCACAGGGCCCATCCGCCCTAGAGGACATGCCCTTGGGCACCACAAACAGGGACGACATCGAGCCCGAGTCAGCCAGAGCGGGCGTCGCAGCTTTGGTCTTCACATCCATGACCTCGCAAGGGGGAGAGTCCTCCTCCGGTTCTCGTGGCATGTCCAGCCCATCTGGAGGTCCTTTGAACCTGAGTTGCAAATGCCCCCTGCGTGCCCATCGGCATGAACCCAGGGTCCCATGATTTCTGTGCTTGGAAAGACTAAGATCAAGACATGCCAGAGATCATGTGTTGGAGCTTGCGCGAGTGCCGACGCAAGTCATCGCTTGAAGTAAATTGCTTGCCACATGAGCAAGTGAAACAACCGGGATGAGTTCGCTCATGGTCCTTCAAATTTGCGAAACTCCGACTGCAAATTCCGCACCAATCCACCCTCGCTCGCATGGCGTCCGCCACGATAAAGACATCACCTGGGGTCAAAGATTGTCTTTGACCCCCGGGCAAAAAAATGCTCCACTTGTTACTAAATAGGTCAAAATATTGTCGCGTTCCAAATGAAAAAAGGCTCGGGCCACACCAAAGAGCAACCAAAAGAAGACCAGGTCGCAAAAGCGCTCCCTTTCGGGCCATAACCGAATGGCAAGTCACACATCTTCTCCAGATCCTCCAGTGGCACAAACTCGGGCGAAGGCGCTCGCTCGTTCAGCTCGATTTGTGACGCATGCAAGCCGGGCTGTAGAAACACCTGGCAAGGGCTCATTGGGGGGACCCCCAAAATGGACTTCGGGCTTCCCAACCTCAAAATGGTACACTTGAGAAAAAAACTGCCTTTCACAGGCCAAAACAAGGTCATTCAGCAGTTGCTTGAACGCTTGGAGGCACATTCTTGTCGTTCCAGAGGTAGGCATCAAAGGTGCCATCAGGCAGCGCCTTCTTCAGGGTGGCAGGAAACAGCTTGCCGCTGATGTCCACCACAAACTTCCACTCGCGCTGCAGCCCGAACCGTGCCAACTCGTCCTCCTTGCGTGCCTCCAACCAGAACCGCTGCCGGCACGCCTCGCGCAGCTGGTCGTGCCGAAGCTGGGACTCCTCGTCCATGAGCCGACACAGCTCGTTCTGCTTCTCGTTCATCACAGGGCTCCAAGGGAAGGCCTGGGGCAAACGCTGCACCAACCCCGCTCTGTGCCCGTCGCTACCGCTATCCCGTGCGCCCTGCCCGTTGCGCCACTTCATCACGAACTCATGCTGCTCCTCCCAGGAATGCACCTCAACAAGCACGCGCTCCAGCATGCAATGCTTGTAGCAAAACAGGCGCCGGTTGTCTATGGACCAGAACTGGCCGTCATGCCACGCCACACGGATCAGAGCAATGTCTCGTGGGTGTCCTTCTCCAGACAGAATGCTGTCAATCAGCTCCATGATGGGACGCAGCTGGTGCGAGAAACTGTCATTCACCTGCTTCTGTGTGAAAGCAATGTCCTGCAGTCGCACCAGCCGCTTCCCCAGTGGGAGACAATAACCGCACGCAAGATCATAGTCCCACGGCAAGTCCATGACGCGCGCAAGCGCGAGACAGTCGCTTCGCAGCTTCACTCTCTTTGAGCCTTGGGCCCAGGTTGGCCAGGTGCGGAGGTCGAGAGACTCTTTGGCATCCCGAATTTCAGCGTGGTTTTTGAGGAAGCGAACAGGCTATTGCCCCCTGTTGAGACAAGCCCAACCACGAAGTACAATGGAAGACATGCATGTGCTTGGGCACGTCTATGGCCGCTTGCTGAGATCTTTCAAGTGAATCCCAGCTGCCAGGAGTTCGGCACGCATTGGGAACGAATCAATTGAAAGCAGCGCCTTTGCCAACCCCACGGCATCTATGGACTCTTCATTGGGCATGAAATCAAAGTCTGCGATTCCCGTAACGGGCGTGGGAAAGTAAGGCCTGCATGTTCGTGGTTGAAATTGAGAATTGGGTGACTGCCCGCATGTCCCAAACCCCGAAGGGACCACAGATTTGGGCTTGTCTTGACATTTGGGGAACGCCAAACATGGTGTTCCTGTTGGTTTTCGGCCCTAGTCTCCTGTTGTTCTCCGTACACCCCACCTTTGAACCATCTCCTCTGCTTTCGGATATGAGGACCCCAAAATGGCTCGGTTTCCTTCTGGCTTCCCCGTCAACTCATGATATTGCTTCTACATGCTCGAAATCAGCTCAAGCACTATCTGCTAAAATTGCATGACTCCCTGAAAAATCCGGAACTGCCCAGAAAGCCCCCCCCCCCGGTGCACACCCCGATAGCTGTCACTGGGGAATGACCATTAGCATCAATTGCCCATTTTAGAGCCCTAATTTGGCCGCGGCTCAACACCGGGACTTCCACAGGAACCTTACACGAGAAGCAACAAAATCTGCAGTCCCCTGAGCCGCACCCATTCGAGCAGCGACCGAAACCATTGACGATTGGTCCTACCAAGATAGTTGTAATGGATATTTAGATACATATATATATATATATATGTATAACTCCAGATTCACCTCCAGCCCTTTTGATACACCCACTTGTACTTTCAAAAAAAACTATCCTTGTTAAGCCAGATTCAAATAGTTTCACCTCATGGCCCTTTTGAGGCTGACCCCTCCGCGCCTGGGCTACTCGCCGGGCCCAGGCCAGGCCCACGGCCGGAGCAAGCAGCGCCAGAGGTGCCGAAGGCGGCACCGGCGGCGGAGGCCTGGTGCTGTTCGTGAAGCCCCAAAGGCGGGAACATGACTGCCATTTGCTGAAGTCCCCGGAGAAAAAAAGAAGAAGCTTGTTTGTGTTTTTTTTCCCCGGTTGTGATAGGTTTCCTTTAATTTAAAACCAACAGGGGAAAATAAGAACAAATATACTTAAGCAAATGGAAGATGAGAATAAAGAGGGGAAGAATTTTACATTGGCCATTGCTATTATTTAGGGAACTTACTTAGAAGAGAGGGGAAGGAAGGCAAGGAAAGAAAAAGACTCTTTCTATCTCTGGTGCCTCTGGTGCCAGCTTTGGGAAGCACATCCCTGCAAAGTCTAGACCCCGAGAAAGCAAAGGCGCAGCGATTCCACGCAACGCGAGCTCCCGGCGCTGGGCGCCCCGTCCGACGCACGACACCGGGGGCACGGATCGGCCTGGCCACGCGCTTCGCGACTCCGAGCTTTGGTCGGTGGCAAGTGAACACACCAAAAAAAAATGATATGGCCATGGGTCAAAATCCAAATCGATTATCCCCCAGTGAACATCCGATTCAATCCAACCACTAAAATGGACTAAAATGGGTGAATTCACCTACCCAAAATGGTACGAGTACCATTGGTTTTGACCCACAGCCATATTGATGCTCGTGCATGAATGCAAAGACCAGGAAAACCATGCGGCGTGAGCCCCCCGGCCACAAACCGCAGCTCTCGGCCATGACATCTTTGGGTTGCAAAGGAGACCCCTCTAGCAGGGTCCTGCAGAATCCATTCCGAAGACTGCTGCGTTGTTACAGCTTTGCGGATCTAATCTACTTGGTCCATGTCTCTAAGTACCTGGTGGCTGTTTTGTTCGCAATGAGCGGAGAGACACCAAACAATGATAGACTCTGTGACCTCAAAAAGCAGTAGCCATTGAGGAACAAAGGCCAAGGGGCAAGCAGCCCCACTCCCAGTCTCTGAATTCAGACATTGTTTCTAAAGCCAAACCACCCGTAATACGTCACCGAGGCAATCACGGCCATTGCCAGCGGGCTGTCAGGCCCGGGCCCTTCCAAACATGCCAATCGCGCCAGGAAGATGCTGGTGCGCAGCATCGCAGCTCCATCGGATCACGGACGATGGGTATGGTGGGGGCTGGACCTGCCAATAATCATGTTGGATTGTGCTTGGTTGACTTGGTTTGGAGAAGATGGGTTTGGTCAGCTTGAGTTGCCTCGTGGCACGCCCCAGTCTGCTGAGCCTCTTTCGGCCATGGCTTTTCTGTGACCCGGGGATTGGTCGCAAGCCGGCGACGACATCCCTTGGCAAATTGCCACATGCGGAACAGTTTGAGCATCTACTGGCCTCATTATTTTTACCATGATCAAAGTCACCCCCCAAGTGGTGGGTTAAAGGGAAACAACCACATTTTCTGACTTTGATAACCCAGAAACAGTCAAAATAATGACCCAGATCTACATCATCGACATTGGCAGCCAGCACATTGGCTGAGCTCAACGAACTACTTTCCCCAGGCAGTGTTCCTCTCAGCGGCTCCGAACCGTTGGAGCGGTGACGGGACCCAACCAGAATCTAGCTTTTGGTGAGGGAACCCATAGCTCAAGCAATCTAGTCATCGACCAATCAACAATCAATCCCCACAGTTGCCCCAATGAGAGATGTTGGACTACTTGAGCTCATTGCCCGCACAACCACACTTGCACCAGCTGCACATGCTCAGAAGGGATATGAAGGTGTTGGAAATGGCCATGAAGAGGAAGTCCAACCAGTTGCTTAACATCATTCTGCGCAACCATGGCCGCATTCAAAAGGGCATCATGGGTCGGTTATAATACTCGGAAGTGAAGCAAATCAGCAGACTCAGCCGCTGGAGGGGTTACAAGGTCTCCGGGACTGCCAGTGGTCTTTTTGCTGTCCCTTTATACCAAGGTGACAAGGTTACCTTCAAAATAACACCCCCACATCCTGTCCATGTGGGAATTTCCCAAATGGTGTGCCTCGCTTCGAGTTGGTATTCAAAGGGAAATCAACAGGATACCAACCATTTTAGAAGACCAATACCAACCATTTTAGGGCTGTTGGGGACCGCTATGTTGAGAAACCACATATCTGAAGACAAAACTTGGTGAGACAAAACTTGGTGCCCGGCGCATCGGCGGCTTCGCCTGGCCACTTGGGATGGGCCTGAAAAAGACAAAGGGGCAGCCCCCTTCGTATTTCAACTGGTCGAGAGATGTCGGGATCACTGGAAGCGTCAAGATGTGAAGCACTGACAAAGTGCAAATGCGTGAAATGAGGAGGGTTCGACACTATTGGAATTGAGCGGACAGCATTTGCAAATTCTGGCCGATGCTTCTGCCTGCATCATTGCGGACAAATTGTGACGGAAAACACTGGGGAGGGTCTGCTTTGAGAACGCTGCAAGGTAAGAATGATCCACCAAAATCAAAGACACGTTTTCCTCTGCGTGCTTGCACGCTGACTTGGGAAGAGCAGGCATTGATGTCCAAAGCATCTTCTTTCTATGACCTCTGCAATGTATGCTGGCTATGAAGCGCTTGAAAGAGCGGTATCTAAGGACATAGGCATGGTGCTACTGCTTTGGAGTGCGTACAGTCCACAGTTTTCAAAAAGCAGCTCATGCGTGGCATGTTCCACACAGGGTATGCAAGTAGCAGGGCCAAGTGAGCAGGAAGGACAGTTGGCCCATGCTGACAAAGAAGCTCAGCCGCCAAGATGGCATTCAACTTGGTGGCATCGAACCACCTTTGAGAATCACACAATGCCTCTACTTCTTTCGGACCAATTCCGAAACAGCAACCTAGTAGAAACTTTGCCTTGCCCTTCAAGGCAACGATTTGTTTTCTGTTCGGAGGGACTGTCATCAGGTTTCATCTCGAGAAATGCGCACTGACAGCAAGCGTGAAAAAATAACTGTCTGACATGTTCCAGCAAGAGACCTGAGATGCATCATGTTCAATCAACTAGCACTTGGAACCTTTGTGTTCCTTCTACGCCCCTCAAAGAATGGTTTCCCTTCGGAAGACAACTTGCGGATGCTCAGCGTAAAGGAAAAACCACCAGTTGGAGGGTTAAGGGTCCTTCCCTCCCTCCCCCATCGCACCCCGCAAAACCGACTCGAGCTGCGCCTTCGGGCCCCGCGCGCTGGCCGTGTTCAGCGGCCGGGCGCGGGCGGACAGCGCCTCCCAAGCCGCCGGCAGAAAACTCACACCCGGCGGAGCCAACATGGTGCTCACTTCACCAAATGAGCTACGTTGAACCAGGGAAGCATGCCAGTTCATGTTATCTATGAGCTTATATATATATATGTACACATATATATATATATATGTACATATATATATATGTGTTTTATGCATGTACCTGGGAAGACAGGCCTTAAAAACCAAGTCAAAAACTGGAGCCGAGTGAAGCCACATTTCAGGGCCGGCAAGCGCAACAAACCCGCAGCAAAAAGCAACCCGCTCCAGCACGGGTTCAGTGACTGACAGTCATCACTATCCTTGCCTCCCCACAAACATGCCACTAGCGCCAGCTCCTGTGAAATTTCTGTGAAATGCAGTTTTGCTCCTAGCATTCTTTCCCAAGCAGCCAGGGACCCAATGCGTGCAAAACATAGGCCCTCGAAAGCTGGACAGGCAAAAGAGAAACTGCTTCGGCCTCATGCGAGTTGGTGCCTCTCTTGGTCTGGGCACGCATACTGATACTATGGCATTTGCGTTGTGCCGTTCACAGATATGTCGGTAGTTTCACCATCACAAGAGGCCGGCCTTTGGACTTGCCTCCTCAGCGGCCACGGCCTACAAGCATGCATCTCAAAACCCTACTCGCACGGCATGTCATGGCGTGCTCTAATGTTTTCCGCAATATGGTTCGTTAGTTGCTGCACTTGTGCAGTTGGCAAACTTGGCAATCAGGACTGCCACTGGCGCAAATACCGCTGCTCTGCTCATCGCATACGCCCAGTCGGGTAGCTTATCTACAGTAGCTTTAAACTGTTTGCAAAGCTTTGAAAGCAAACTGTCAGGATGTGTCACGCTACAACGTGCCAGCCCAAAACCCCAGACGCAGTGTCCCTACGCCCTACAAGCATGCGTGAGCACAGCAGAGGCGGACAATGCCTGCGCGAGACAAGCGGAAGGAAAGAACCCGCGCAGCAAGCAGCCAAAGCCGGGGCAAAGCACGCTGCGGACGATTAGTTGCGTGTCGCCCTCTGTTGCTCGACAGGACTGTCAGTGTTTCGCCTTGTCGATGTGTTTGCCAGCAGCGCCTGGCTCGTGTTCAATCTGTGCTGTGTGCCATGAGCATCCTGGCCAGCAGCCAGAAGACGGTGCACGCCGGGCGACTTTGCAGAGGCTGACGTTACGAATTTGGTGGTGCAAGGTTTGGTGCTGTTTACGGCTGGCATGGGCTGACCAGCGTGTGGTGCCGCAAGAAGGCAAAGCTGAGCCTTGGCAGCGTTGGCTCTGTGTTTAACCTTGACAGTCACAGGCGCAGCAGGAGGCCGGAGCATGAAAGCAAGCCGCCTGAGCAGTCGGAATGCGATGCGGAAGTTGCTCCTGTTGAAAAATGAAAAATAGCGTCACAAAGGGCGCATGCAAAAACACCTAGCTGCTGACGGTCAATGGCTCTCACGTCTCAAACGCCACTCTTTTCCAAGCACCCAACAAGCTGCGAAAAGCTAAGAACGGCACCTTTGCGGCAGGCCTCCGGGGCGCCAAGGGAGCCGTCAGTGGCAGCCAACAAGGTACGACTTCGAAGCCACAACTCACTGACAGGCACTGGCTTCCCACATGCGGTTGTTTCCGGTGGCTGAGGCTTCCACTTGATCTGCGGGTTCCTTGGACGAGAGCACGGGCTGATATTGGTCGCAAAAAAGCACAGCACCAGTTCGTGGACATCAGGGTCTAGGAAGAACAACGAAAAAGACTGCCACCCTTCAGCTTCCTTGCACGCAGGCTGGTGTACTGGACATCCCTCAGTTACACGTAGCGCCCGGTGCCTGGGTGCCGGGCGCAGTCTTTGGAGGCGGAGCTCCCACTGGAGTCCGCACTGGGAGGGCTGGCGGCGCCTGCAAATGACACAATAAGCAGGAGAGGAGGGAGAGGAGGAGAGGAGGATCAGGAGGAGGAGGAAAAGGAATGACATAGCAAGCACATGAGCCTCAGTCTAGATTCCTTCTTCCTTCAGTGACACGAATCTTGAGAGCAACCCTGCTATCCTATTGGGAATTTGGGAGTGTGCCAATGCCATCCGATGTTGAATGTTGCCCGTTGCTCTTGTGCATTTTTCAGAAAACCGACTATGTTCAAGTCTGCACGAGGCTGAAATGCACAGCACGTCTCTCAAGCAGCAACAGGTTGGACGCATGTCCTTTGGGGCTGGTTCACTACACGCAAGCACTCTGATTGTGTCGAGGCTAACCAAGGCATGAGAAATGCTGAAGAAAGTTGAACAGCACCAGTCTTACAGGAACTGTGAGCCTGAAGGATGCACATGAGTCAGCGCTTGATGAGTGCATGACTGCATATTAATGTGCTCTGACAAGCACCACATGGAATCAGAGAACCTGCGAATATGATCTTTGCCAAACTTCCACAAGGTCTATTGAGAAGAAGGAACCCTCAAATTGCACGAGGCCCCCTTGCAGCAAGCTCCCGTCGCATCCCCGCCTTCACTTTGGAGGCGGGCCGGATTGGTCGTATCGGAGGAGAGCGGGCACCTTCAAGCACCACACTGCAACAGCGATCTTTTCATCCACTTGGACAATCCAGTCGCCGCTTCCGTTTTGGAGCAGCTGCAATGCCAAACAGAAGGCCCTTGCCGTTCATCTACTCCAGAATCTTAGTTCCAGCTGGATGGGCATTCCATACCTCAGAACGCTGTCTTCGCCTTGAGCATGAATTAACACTCGTCAAACGAAGGTAAGCGTTGTCAGCTTGGCGTGAGCTGTCTGCTGGCCTCCAGCGGGGCTGGCAACCTGCAGCCGAGAGAGTGTGATGAGAACCCGATTTTTGGGGGGCAGCAAAAGGATGTCCCGCCAGCTTCCCCCAAGCAAGCAAGCCTGAACCAGGCATATGACCAGTCTTGCACCCGAAGGATGAAGG